TCAGCTAAAAATGGTCAGCAGGTGTGAATAGACATTTCTACCAAGAGGATGCACAAGTGGTCAACAAACACATGATTAAGATGCTCACAGTCATTAGCTGTCAGAAACACAGATCAGAATTACAGTGACATGCCACTTCACACCCCCTAGGATGCCTCTATCAAGAAGTCAGTTAATAATAGGTGTGGATAAGGATGTGGAGAAATAAGTACCCTCACACACTACTGGCAGGACTGTTAAATGGTCCAAAGGTTTGGAAAGTAGTCTTTCAGTTCTTAAAATGGTTAAACATAGAGTTAGCACTTGACCCAGAATTTCACTCCTAGGTATATATACAAGAGAGGAGAAAGTGTGTAGCAGCATTATTCCTAATAACCAAAACGTGGGGAACAACTCAAATGTCACCTGATGAATGGACATATTATTTTTATTATTCCTGCATAAAAAGGAATGGAGTCCTGACACTACAGCAGGGATGAACTTTGAAAGCGTCATGCTGGGTGACGAGCCAGTCACAGAGGATCACGTGCGATTACATTTCTGTGAAACATCCAGAGTAGGTAGATGGCCCATTAGTGGTTGCTTGATGGGGGCTAGAGAGTTGGGAGGTGGTAAAGAGCACTGGGTTTCTTTCCGGGGGGATTAGAATGTTCCAAAATTGATTGTGGTAGTGGTTGCATAAGTCTGTGAATATATTAAAACAGGTATCACTACACATCTATTATAATGGCCCAAGTCTAAAACACTGGCCTCACCAAATGCTGCTGATGATGTACAGCAGTTGGAACTTTCTTTCATTGCTGGTGGGAATACAAAATGGTATAGTCACTTTGGGAGGTAGTTGGGCAGTTTCTTACAAAACTAAACATACCCTTAGCTAATGTGATTCAACAATTTTCCTCCTTAGGAATGAATTGAATGAATTGAAAACTCCTATCCATGCAAAACCTGTACATATTTATTAATAATTGCCCAAACTTGAAAGCGGTCAAGATGCCCTTTAGTAGGTGAACAAATAAGCTGGTACATCCAGACAGTGGAATATTCAGCATAAAAAGGATGGAGCCATCAAGGGAAGGAAGCTAATCAGAAAAGACTGTGTACTATAGGATTCTAACTATGAGACATCCTAGAAAAGGCAAGACCATGGAGACAGTAAAATGATGAGTGATTGCCAGGGCTTAGGAGGGAAGGAGGAGTGAATAGAGCAGAGAGGATTTTTAGGCAGTGGGACTCTTCTGTATGATTCACAGTGGCGGATACTTGTCATTATACATTATCCTCATGTAGACCGTGGGCTTTGATAATATGTTATTGTAGGCTCAGCGAGGATCCCACATGTACTGCTGTGATGAGGGGTGTGGACAGTAGGAGCTTTTGTGGGGATGAGGCAGGGAGTGTATGGGAACTCTGTACCTTCTGCTCAGTTTTGCTGTGAGCCAGACATTGCTCTACAAAATAAAGTTCATTAGTTTAAAAAAATGTCTGAGACTTGTCTCATTATGGTGTGCTGTGGAGTACACGTGCGGGGATGGGGCAAGACTCCCCATAGGTCTGTGATTGCTGGAGCTGGGTAGCGGGTTCATGAGGCTTACAATAATAACTTTTGAATCTGGAAGGGGACGTCTCCCCAGTTCATTCAAAACTATGGCGTTTTTATTAAACTATGATGGAAAACCTTATATGTGTACAAGAGTAGACAAAATAGTACAAGTACTACTGTATTAGGCTAGACAGTGTAGATGGCATTATAAAAATGGGAACATCTGTATGGAAAAGGTAGATTCGTACTCCACACCTGCACGCCCACAAAGGTGATAGCGGACATATTGGTTTTGCGGCCTTGCTGCTAACGAATGAAGTAGTTACGCGGATTAACAATCTCAGAAGCAGTGTTGAGGGATAGAGGTGATTGCAGAAGGATACCAGGGTATGAGAGCATTAAGGTTTAAAAACCGGCAACAGAGTAAAGGTGTAAAATATGCATGGTCATGATGCCTCCAAATTCCCGATAGTTGTTACTTCTGAGGGAAGTGGGGCATTTGTAAGGTTTTATGTCTTAAAAAGAAATTGAAGCAGAAGTAACAGTAATATTAAAAATTGATGAAGCTCAGGCACCTGGCTGGCTCAGTCAGTGGAGCATTTGACTCTTGATCTCGGGGTCGTGAGTTCGAGCCCCACGTTGGGTGTAGAGATGACTTAAAAATAAATTCTTAAAAAAATATGATGAAACTAGGTGATAGGTAGTAAGTGTCCATTACAGAATTTTGTATATTTGTCTCTATGTTTGAAGTAGTCTGTAAAGTGTTAGTATAAACAAATAAAATGTCTTGTTTGGGTCCTAATTCAAACAGATCTTCCAAAACACATTTTTGTGGCAGCTGGAGAAAATTTTACTACAGCTTGGGTATTAGATGACATCAAACGTGTTAGGGGTGACAGCAGCACTGTGTTTGTATAAGGAAATATCCATGTTTTTAGAGATGCATGTTGTAGTATGTTAGATGATGTTATATTGTTTCTGGGGCTTATTTTCACAAAATACTTCATAGAAAGAGGATGGTTGAAATAAATGTGGCCAGATCTTGGTGCATCTTGGTGATGGGTACGTGAAAGATTGTCATACTAGATTCTCAGTTTCAAAGCATGTTTGAAAATCTTTATCACTACATATACGAAACCAGAATGGATAAATAACTGTTCTTTAATAATTTGTTCCATTGGCAAACAGATTGGAAATGTTTTGGTACAGAGAATATGGTTTTTTCAGTTAATATGTAGCATATAAATAGATCTTATCTAAATATACATAAAGTAAGTCAGGAACAAAATTTGACCTGTGTTCCTCCAGGCCCTCTGTACTGCTTTTAACTCTGTGGAAACATGCCTCTGTGGAAACGTGCCACGGATTAGTATTTAGGCTTGGTATTTGCAGTTTTTCTGTTCACAGTGACAACAGGAGAGTGTATATATAGCTCTGGGTAATTTCCAGTAGGTAAAAAGGAGCAGGGGTAATCAGCATGAGCAGGTGTGTGAGTGTACAGACTTGAGCCCCGACAAAATTGTAGCTCTCAGAAATGAACGAGGTATTCCAAAGATAATGCTTTTTCTTTTATTTCACATTTTACAAAACACCTTCACACTCAGAATGTGGAGCTGACACGCACAGCTTTCCTTCTGTGGCTTCGTGTGTTTAGTCTTGGGGTCACTCCCATGCACCCCCTCACCGTTTCCTGTCTTTCCTTCTAGAAAGGTGTTCCTTTCTGCAGTTAATGTTCTTACCACTTTCTCGGGCTAGAGAGAGAGAGAGAGGAGAGAATCTCAAGCAGAGTCCCCACTGAGCCTGGAGCCTGTGGGGCTCTATTCTTCCGCCCCGAGACCACGACCTGAGCTGAAACCAAGAGTCGGACGCTTCACCGACTGAGCCGCCCAGGCACCCCCAGAATGTTTTACTAGCAGTGCCGAAGCGACGTGAAACAGATGTTGAATGAATTTACTTAGAATTAGCGTGACCAGTGTTTCCCCTGTTTCCCAGAGTGCCAAACTTAATTCCTGCGTGTGTTTGAGAAAGATGAATGTCCTCACGATGTTGAAAAGGTCTTTAATATTATGGATTTGATTTTTTCAAGTACTTAGAAATCCATGCTGAGGAGTATTGCCGCTGTCCCGGCTTGAGGGCTGTGGGGTCCCTTCACGTCGTGTGGCGGCCAGTAACAGAGTCAGGTCCTAAGTCAGACTGCTCTCCTGGCCCAGCAGCTCAGTTACTGCGGTCTGTAAAGGAAATCGACAACTTTGCATAAAGATGCATGGTTCTTCTGCATAAATGTCTTCCAACTTAGATGGTGAAAGACATGGAAAAGAGCAGAGTGGGAGAGCTTTCTAAGAAAGTAGAGACAGTACTCAGTGTATGTAAAATACTCTTCCCAATCGGAGGAAAGTCGGTTCATTAGAAGCCCAGGGAAAGGCTATCACCAAAGAAGAAACACGGGCATTAATAACTGTATAAAAAGATACTCAGCCTCACTACTGAGGGGGAATAGAGATGACAGCTGTCACCAGCTTCTCCCCCTGGCGTTGGCAAGGGTTTTGAAAAGTGGAGAGCAGGGACTGTTGGTAAGTGTATGGGGAACAGGCGCACAGAGCCCCACACACTGTTGGCAGGCTCACCCTGTGCAGGAGTCCATTTGGCCAAACATACGCCCTACCTGGGCTTAAATCCTGCAACTGTCAACGACAGATGAACTTCATATTTAAGAGGTGGTAAAGGGGTGTGGGGAAAATTCATCCTGACTGCAAAAAATCCTTGATTTTGTATGGCTGCTGTGTACTCTGGCTTTTTTTCTCCTCTGTTAACGGTTTCTTGAATGTTTACTTTGTGCAAGTGTTGTACTAATAAGCATTTTCAGTAAATTGTTTTATCATTAGAGCAGCCTTCTAAGATGGGTGTTTTTAATCCCTGTTTTGTAGATGTCGAAACTGAGGCCAGAGAGGTTAAATAAGTTCATTAGCCAGTGGGTGAAAGAGCCTCAGTTTAGCTTTAGAACTATGGCCTTAGTCACTATCTGTTTGGATAATTAACAAGTAATGGACTAGTGATACCGTGCATACCTTAAATTTTGTCTTTACTAAAATAATTTCATCTTGGGGGCGCCTGGGTGGCTCAGTCAGTTGAGTATCTGGCTCTTGGTTTTGGCCCAGGTCATGATCTCCGGGTCCTGGGATCAGGCCCGGCACTGGGCTCCGTGCTCAGCGTGGAGTCTGCTTCTCCCTCTCCCTCTGCCTGCTCCCGCCACTCATGTGCGTGCTCACACGCTCTCTCTCTCTCTAAAATAAATCTTTTAAAAAAATGTTCACTTGCTAAGTTAACATTTTAAAATTCAGTGCTTAATTTCTTCCTTAGAATGTTAACATCATAAACGTAATGCTTTCTCTCTTCCTTGGGATGTCAGCCCGATCCATGCGAACCTTCGTTAATGGAAAGGCTTTTACTCTCTCCCCAGAGGACCTGAAGCGGCAGAATGCAGTGTTGCAGGCGGCGCAGGACGACCTGGGGCAGCTGCGGACGCAGCTGTGGGAAGCCCAGGCAGAGGTGGAGAACATCAAGGCCATCGCCACGGTCTCTGAGAACACCAAGCAGGAAGCAATCGATGAAGTGAAAAGACAGTGGAGAGAAGAGGTTGCCTCGCTCCAGGCTGTGATGAAAGGTAAAGACTGAGAACGTCCCGTCTGTGCCGTGATTTCCTAGGATCGCCTCTGCCAACGGGGACTGTGCTGTCAGAGGGTCCTAGACTGCACCCGCAGCTTTTCGTGGCGTCATGCGTGACCGTCGTCGGGGCGCACTGTCCTCTGTGAAAGGAGGGGAGGCCTGTGGTGCCGTCGGCGGGCCGCCGTCTGCCTGCCCCGGGCCTGGTAGTGGAGGCTTACCGTGGGTGTGTGCAGGGCTGTGGCGCTGGGCGGGGGCCGCGTTCACCGAGGGTTTGCAGCGGGGTGGGGGGCTGGGGCCGGCTCTTCTGCAGGAGCCAGGCCGGGCACGTCGGAGAAGCCAGCCGCGTGGACGCGGGGCGTGTGCGGGCTGGAGACTCCCACGCGGGGTCCAGTCACTGCTTACACTTGGTTACTGCCCTGCCAGTCCAGCGTGGCCAGAATTTGACATTTTCAGGGGAAGTGTGGGTTGCGATGTGACTCCTCACTGTGGTCTCTGAGGTAGAAAGGTATGGGCTCCAATCAACAGGCTGGATGGGCTGCCGACCTCTGACCCTGGCAATAAAGGAGGAGTCACGGGTTAGCCTGCGTTTCTGACCAGACGGTAACGAGCCGAAGGAAGTTGCCCCTGAAGCTGTGGTTCCTGAAATTAGTTTCATTCGTATGATAAATATGACATAGTGGTGACTCTCTCCGCCATCTTGGCCTACGTGTCATTTTTCTGCAGTGGAATGGCTGTAAGCCTCACGGTAGCCGACGGAAGTGGCTCTCCCACATGGGAGTCTGTTCTTCCCTCAGGAGTGCATCCCGGAGGTGGGGACTCTGGGCCAGTTACAGCCTCCACGATGGCACCTGTCCCGGCTCCTTCGGTCCTTCTGGTTCTCCATCCCTTGGCATGTGGTTTTCACCGCCGTTCTCCTTATGGCTGAAAAGTGGTCGCTGCTCCTTCAGTCGCCTCAGGGAAGCAAACACTCTCTAGAAGTCTCCATACACCCCTCCCGTTTATTGAGGTGTGTGGTTGCCCATCACTGCAAAGGCAGCTGGAAAATGTAGCTTTTAAATCGGCCCGCTGACGTCTTAGACAGAATTGGGGTTTTGTTAGGAAGGAGGAAGGGGTGGAAGCTAGTGAGCAACCAGCTGTGTTTATCCCGGAAACGCCTCAGGTTTATACTAAAGAGAAAGCCATTTAATACGGGCCGTGTAGACTTTGTCTCCGTTCAGAATCCCGAGTCACAGTGAACTATTCCAGACGCACGTCCCGTTTCTCACACGTTCAGGCCGTTGGACGGGGGTGACAGGAGCCGGAGCGTGGTGTGGGCGCGCCGCGGTTTGGCGGACATGGGCCGGCTCCGCACACCGGCTCTCTGGCACGGGCCAGGGCCTCTGCTGAGCTCTCCTCATCTAGGGGAACGCTCGGCACACGCCAGCCGTGAAGACGAGAGAGGGTTCAAGCCCTTAGCAGAACTACACGTCATGGGAACCAGAAATCTTGCTTTAGCTTTAGTTGTTGTTTTGCGTAAATGAGGCATGAGATCGTCCGGCCCAGTGCGCCCGAGCGTCGCTCCTCGGGGCGCTCAGACCTGCACTCTGTGGTGATGTTTTGTAGAGACCGTCCGCGACTACGAGCACCAGTTCCACCTCAGGCTGGAGCAGGAGCGAGGCCAGTGGGCGCAGTACCGGGAGTCCGCGGAGAGGGAGATAGCCGATTTGAGGAGGAGGCTGTCCGAAGGCCAAGAGGAGGAGAATCTAGAAAATGAGATGAAAAAGGTATGAAGGAATGTACTCGTCTGTAGGAGTATTCGCATCCGGGCGCAGGGTGCCTCCACTGACGTTACTCTGTTCCGCTAGAGGGATTGTTGCACGCGCACGAAGTGCCGTGCGAGATGACCCGACGCGGCCCGGCGGCGAACCCCCCATCTTCCCATCTTTGACCGCACGTGTCTGCCGCACCGGGCCTGTGCCAGCGGCCCCCCACCTGCCTCAGCTCTGCTGACCACCCTGCCCCGTTCCGGTGTCCCCTTGTCTGTGGCACGCAGAGTTCCCCTGTTCATCGTGTTTACTGCTTGCTGCCTTCTTTCCTCGCTGGGGTGGGAGCCCCGAGCGCGGGAGTCTTGCTGAGTAGTGGAGCCTGCGTACCCACGGGAGCGTCTGGCACGCTGGCGCTCTGTAAATGTGAGGGTCTGAGCCAGAGCTGGACCACGGCTGTTGATTTTCTGGCCTTCTCCGTGTGTGGTTCCCGTGTGACGAGTGCACCGCATGGCACGCTGAGCACATTACCGCAGATGCCCGACCTGAATAGGAGGGGCAGTGTTTCATCAGTGAGAAAAGTTAGAAAGCTTTGTGGCCAGTGTAATTATATGAACTTTTCCTTTACTAATGTAGGTACATTCATGTATTTTGTCACATATTATGTAAAATAATACCTGAAACTTGATTTTTTAATTTCATTCCGATTAATCCTCCTCTTTGGTTCCTAACCCTCAGTCCATACAAGGACTACTTTTGTGTATTTAGAAGGTTATTTGGTTTTTATAGTAACATAAAAATCATCTGAGAACCCAACACCCCAAATAGAAGCTTTAAACACGAAGGATAGTTTTTTCCGTTCCGTCTTGTTCCAGGACAAGACTGTAATTCAGCACCTCCGTGAGGACCTGACGACGTCTTGGTGACCACTAGAGTCAGTCATGTGACAGTGTGGTCCGCAGCAGGCCGCCGTTCCCCACCCTCCCCAAGGAGGTGGAGATGCTCGTGTTGGGTGCTCTCACTGGGAGCTCTGGCCCACGTCTTAACAGGAGACTGTCGTCGTTTTCATTCTTCTGATACATTCACATCCATGCTTTTCATAACCTGCCCCTTCTTGTCATTCTTAAAATTTGTTTTATTTTCAAAATAAACTTTGTTTTTTAGAATGGTTTTTATTTACAGAAACGCTGTGAATGAAGATAGTACAGAGTCCCCTGTACCCCACTCCTGGTTTCCCCTGTTACAAGTATCTGTTATTAGTGTGGTACATTTGTCACAACTAATAAACCAGCGTTGATTGATTCTTACTAACTCAAGTCCATGCTTTTTCTTCAGATGTCATTCATTTTTACCTAATGTCCCTTTTTTACTGTTCTAAGATCTCTTGCACGGAACCACATTGCATGATGCTGCGTGTCTCCTTAGACTCCTCTCGACCGTGACGGTTTTTTAAATTTTCCTTGTTCTTGTTGTTTTGCTTTTTTATAAATTTTTAAAAAGATTTAATTCCAGTATGGTTCACACACAGTGTTATACTAGTCTCAGGTGAACAAGATAGTGAGTGATTCAACGCTTCAGTGCATCACCCACTGCTCATCCCCACGGGTGCCCTCCTTAATGAGTTTTCCTTGTTTTTAATGACCTTCATTTAAAAAAAATCATCTTTACAAGTTTTGTTTATAATGATATTCAACACTTGTGGGGTCACCATTACATCAGTAAATAGCTCAGTCTGTGTTAAATTCTTTGCTGCTTCCCTCCTTTTTTTCCTGCTGATTTTTATCAGCAGGCCTCTGTAAGTATCCCAAATTAGCCTTGACTGAAGATATTTTAAGCTCATATGTCTTTTCCAAACAGGACTTAGTTAAAAATAAAATAAATGATGAAGTGACTCTTTAAGGACTGGAAAACAAAGTGAGTCCCTCTTTTCTGAGAGAGATGTTTTTTGGGAAAAATTTCCATGCATATTTGGGCATATATGATATTTTTCCCATTATGAACACCTAAGGATAAACTTGAGCTCTTTTAAATTTAGTGAATAAGGTAAATTTTCATTTTCACCAGAAGGGTAAAAGCTAACTTTTTGATTCTACCTTTGTTTCCGTGTATATATACACACGTACACTTACACGCACACACATATACACGCGCATATGCACGCATACACACACGTGCGCGCACACGCACACATTCGCATACACGCACACACACGTACATACATTCACATACACAGACCCACGCACACATACGCACACACACGTACACACAAACTTACGCATACACATTCACATACACACGAACACACATACACACGTATACCCACTTACACACAGATACACATGCACACACATACACACATACACAAACTTACGCATACACGTACAAATGCATACACATGCACACACATTCACATACATGTACACACATTGCACACACACGCATACACATACATATATGCACATGCACGCACACACACACCCATACACATATACTTAAGCACTTACGCATACACATGTACACACACAAGCTCACACACATGCATACACACATGTACATGCACACACATGCACACACTTAAACACGCATACACACATGCACACATACATATACACACGCACACACACGTACACACACACCTGTACACACACATACACGTCCACACATACACAAAACACGCATGCACACACAAACTTACACACACACACGCATACGCACTTACTCGTACACGAACACACATACACACGTACACACAAGCTTCCACACATACACACGGATACACGCACACACACACGCACACACACCCATACACACATATACACACGCATACACGTACAACCAACTTACACACATACACACGCATACACACACATACGCATACACATTCACATACAGACATGTATACGCGCACACACATGCACATTCACATACACATAGACATACGTACATACACGCACACATTCACACACATACACATGCATACGTGCACACATTCACATACACACGGATAAACACACTGACATGCATACACGCATAGACACGCACACATTCACACATACACGCATACATACGTACACATTCACATACACGCATATACATACACAGACGCACGTACATACATATATACACATACGCACATACACGCGTACACACACACACCTCACACACACAGATATATACCCCCCCACACGCATACACATGTACACATACATAGTTACATACACATACGCACATACACATATTCACATGCACACATACATTCACACACGCACGCTTACATGCACACATTCACACACATACGCACGCATTCACATACATATCCACGTACACACATGCACACGCACACATGCATACACATACACAAGGCACACATTCACACGCATAGTTACGCGCACACACGCATACACACCCACGTTCACAGACACACATACACATACAGACGCACATTCACACCCACCCACCCACACACGCTTACACACATATACACACACATACATACACACAGACACATACGTACACACATACACATACGTACATTCACACATTGCACTTACACCCACACACATACACGCTTAAACACACACACATATACGCACATACACATACGTACAGAAACGCACATACTACACATACACAGATATACATACACACATACGCATACACACACAAATATGCACATACACACGCATACACACAGATGCACACATACACACACCGATGCACACATAGACACACACAGATACAGTTACCCACACATACACACGCATACACATACACACTTGCACACTTACAGACGCATACACACATACACATGCATACACACATTCGCACATATACACGCATACACACATACACATGCACACACAGACCCGTGTGTGTATGGGTCTGTATGTGTAAGTTTGTATCACACACATATACACTTATACACGCATACACACACATTCAGATACACTTACACGCATACACACACGCACACATTCACATACACACGCTTACAGATTTACATACACACGTACACAGGCACACACATACACATATACAGACAGACAGACATACACAAATATACATACATACACATACACCACACACATACACATATACATACATATACATATGCACATAGGCATACATAACACACTTATACACATACACATATGAACATACACATACACACATACACGTACACACATACACTAACACACATACACATACGCTTGCAGACTTACATACACACATACACACACATGCACACACACGTATACACACAGAGACATACATACACAAATATACACACATATACACATATACACACATACATACACAAATATACACACATATACACACAGAGACATACATACACAAATATACACACATACATATATATACACACTTTCATACACATGCATATACACACACAAACGCACACACACATATGCACATTCATATACACATACACAATGCATACAGTTACACACATACGCACATACATACACATATATACACAAATACATACACACATATGCACATGTATGCACATACATATGCATACACGTACACATGGACATACACATATACATACATACACATACATATACAAATACACACATACACATATCTATATATACATTATATTCAGACATTACACACATGTATACATGTGTAACATATTATGTACATAGTATATATATATATAATGAAAATCAAGTTTCATACCAGTTTACTAATTTGTGGATATTATTTCCTTTTAATCCATGTTTTTGAGAATGAAAGAAAACAATATGATAGTTTTAGGGGTCATTCTTTGGGTTTGTCTCATTTAGTTATCAAAATTAAAATATATAAATTACTTCTTAAAATAAGATGGAAACTTTTATAGCAACATAATTTTCTAAGATTTTAGAAAATATTCTTCTCTTTGTTTATGTTTAAAAACAAATGAGTCCTTTTATCCAACCATTTCATAAGAAATTATGGTTTCATGAATTTAGTAACTAGAATTATGAAAATGAAAGTATTATGTATGTTTCCTTTTATATATACGTCTTTTCCAGTTAATTGATTTAAAAAGTTAGATTTGTCATAGTGAATCCATTTTCCTACTTACTTCCAATTTCTAAGAAAATAATGGGGAAAATTGTGATGATGACTTGAGATTCAGAGTTGTGCAGCATTTGAAAGTCAGGCGTGGTTCAGTTTAATGAGTGCTAATTCAGCACCCGGTAGGCTTACTCGTTGTACTGAGTCTAATGGTGTATGTAAGTCAGTATTTCTTAGAAAAGCAGTGAACCAGTAAGTCGTAGCATTTCTTTTTTTTAATTTATTATTATTGTTATGTTAATCAGCATACATTGCATCATTAGTTTTGGTGTAGTGTTCCATGATTCATTGTTTGTTCATAACACCCAGGGCTCCACGCAGAATGTGCCCTCTTTAATACCCATCACCAGGCTAACCCATCCCCCCACCCTCTCCCCTCTAGAACCCTGTTTGTTTTGCAGAGTCCATCGTCTCTCATGGTTCGTCTCCCCCTCCGATTTCTCCCCTTCATTCTTCCCTCCTGCTAGCTTCTTCTTTTTTTTTTCTTAACATATATTGCATTATTTGTTTCAGAAGTACAGGTCTGTGATTCAACACTCTTGCACGATGCACAGCGCTCACCATAGCACATACCCTCCCCAATGTCTATCACCCAGCCACCCCATCCCTCCCACCCCCCACCACTCCAGCAACCCTCAGTTTGTTTCCTGAGATTAAGAATTCCTCATATCAGTGAGGTCATATGATACATGTCTTTCTCTGATTGACTTATTTCACTCAGCATAACACCCTCCAGTTCCATCCACGTCGTTGCAAATGGCAAGATCTCATTCCTTTTGATGGCTGCATAATGTTCCATTGTATATATGTATATACCACTTCTTTATCTATTCATCTGTCGATGGACATCTTGGCTCTTTCCACAGTTTGACTATTGTGGACTAATTCTTTTTAACCGTAGGCTCAAGAGGATGCTGAAAAGCTTCGGTCTGTTGTGATGCCCATGGAGAAGGAAATCGCGGCTCTGAAAGACAAACTGACAGAGGCTGAAGACAAGGTTAAAGAGCTGGAGGCCTCAAAGGTTGTGAGATGTTGTAGCCCATTCCTTGAACCTGGGACCCTGACCTAATGCTATGAGCAAAGTTAGAGTCACTGAGGGGGTACAAACTGGAATTTAGACTGTGTGTCTTAAAAGCCTTGCTTTCTTTAAAATGCAAAGAAAAAAATGCCTGAAGATAATTGTGTCCTTATGGATATATTAAATAATCACAATAGTGATGTTCCTACTGCTTTGTTAACAAAGTTAGTGCTCATGTCAAAATGACACCCGATCTCATTTGTTTTCTTATCGAGGAACATAAGCTGTTGGAAGTTGGCTTTATCTCCTGAAGCTCATCCCAGAACTGATGTCTTAGAGCTGATGATGTAGTTATAGTGCTGGACTTGTTGGCCATAAAGATACAACAGAGGAAATACAGAGGGAATGTTGAAAATGTTGATAATTAAGAGAAAGGAAAGAAAGCAAAAAATAATAATAAAAGGGTAGTAAACAAAAGCACAGCATAGGAGTGTAGAAAGGGGGAATATGTCCATGATCCTAATAAATGTAAACTGATAATCACCTGCTAAAATAGATGGGATTCTTAAAAAATCTAAATTTATATTGTTTATAATAGACACACCTAAAATAAAACTACAAGATAAGACTGAAAATAAAGGGATATTTAAAGATATGCTCTCCAAATTCTACCCAAAAGAAAGTTGATATAGTGATTGTAATATGAAACATTTAGGATGTAAGGGAAAAAGAATAGAGATAGAGGGGACCCCATCTAAAAATTCATCAGTAGGATGTGACAGTCACAATCAAATGTACCGTATATACCTTGAAATTTGTGAACTAAAAGGGATAATTACAAGGGGAAATTAATGTGTACAGTTCTAGTAGGAGATTGAAACAGATCTTTTTACACTGAAAAAAAAAATCTTTTTTTTTTAAAGATTTTTTTTTTTTAATTTATTTTGACAGAGACACAGCGAGAGAGGGAACACAGCAGGGGGAGTGGGAGAGGGAGAAGCAGGCTTCCCTTGGAGCAGGGAGCCCGATGCGGGGCTCGATCCCAGGACCCCGGGATCACAACCTGAGCCGAAGGCAGACGCTTAACGACTGAGCCACCCAGGCGCCCCTGAAACTGATCTTTAACTGATAGTGTAAGCAGAGAAAAACGTTAGCGGGGATATAGGGGTTTTGAGCTATCTGATTAATAGTTTAGACGTAACAGATCCATGGAGAGAGAGACTGCGTCTTCTGTGGTAGCAGAGCATAGGAATCAGGAGCTCAGCAGTTACTGGCTGGGGGACCTCGAGCAAATTACTTCATCTGACTGTGCTTTGCTTTTCTCAACTGTAAAATGGGGATAATAGTACCCTTCTCATAAGGCCACTGTTGGATTATGTAAGTCCACATGTATAAAGCACTTAAGATAGTGCATGGGATAAAGTAATTGTTAGTTTTAGGTACATTATGCTTTACATAGTGTCACAAAAGGAAGTGCCAAAAAGAAGAACTGTTATGTAAACTCAGATGTCTGACCACAGGTTTTTAAATTATTTACAGTAAAATGGTAGCTGAAATAAAATGGAAATAAAAAAAACACTCACGGAAAATGGAATTCTAAAATATTTAGAGTGGTTTGAGTGTTTTACTCAAGAATCCAAAAAGGCGAACAATAGTACAGACTATGAATACAAGGAAATAATACGTTTAAAAGCAGAAATTAGTGAAATAGAAAAGCAAAAGAAAAATTGAGAATGTCAATATAATGGGAAAAATGGGAAAACTAGGAAGATAGACAAACCTCCACTAAGACTAATGAGGAGGGGCACCTGGGTGGCTCCATCAGTTAGGTGTCCGACTCTTGATTTCAACACAGCAAGACGAGATGCAGGGATAGGGCGTGAGCACTGAATGGAGACAGACGATGATTGTGTGGAAGGAAGAGAATGTACCATCATTCTTAGACCTGACAACAGTTCAAGAAAGTTGTTCCAACAAGATCAACATACAAAAATATATTCTCCAATAATCTATCCAAGTAAAGAATGTAATGGGGAAAAAATCCCATTCATAATAGCAAAAACAAAACAACAAACAAAACCCCCAGATACAAAAAACCTAAAATCAGCTCTATGCTGTAGAAACATAGATACCTGAGGATATGTCCAAACAAAATTATGGAATACATTATGATGAAGGTCCGAGCTCGTGTGTGTTCCTGAATGAGAAGATAGTGTATTATAAAGCAGGTAGTGTATCCCCAAATTAATCTGAGTTCAAAATTCCAGTCTGAATAAATTGGGTTTAACAAGGAATTTGGAAGGAGGCAAGGTGGGGAGACTTGCCCCGCCTACCAGATATTAAGACTTAGAGTAAAGCTCCTGTAATTAAGATGCTTTGTTACTGATCTGGGGACAAACAGTGGACCAGTGGAACAGAATCAAGAGCCCAGAAACAGAGCTGGATGTGTGTGGGAATTTGATATAGGACAGCTGGCCTTGCCCATCAGTGGGAAAGGAATGACTTGTTAAAACATGGCCATTTTAGGGCCACCTGGGTGGCTCAGTTGGTTGACTGTCCAACACTTGATCTCATCTCAGGTCTTGATCTCAGGGTCATGAGTTCAAGCCCCGTGTCGGGCTCCATGCTGGGTGTGGAGCCTACTTAAAAAAACAGCCTTTTAAAAATAGTTTTACCTTTTTTTTTTTTTTAGAGCGAGACAGTGAGAACGGGAGTTGGGGGGAGGGGCAGAGGGAGAGAGAATCTCAAGCAGATTGCACACTAAGCAAGGAGCCTGATGTGGGGCTTGATCCTAGGACCCTGAGATCATGACCTGAGCCAAAATCAAGAGTTAGGCACCCATAAATAGTTTTAAATACGGAATAAAGTGAAATCAGCTTTTTACCACACACTTTTCAAAAATTAATTTCAGGGCGCCTGGGTGGCTCAGTTGGTTGGACGACTGCCTTCGGCTCGGGTCATGGTCCTGGAGTCCTGGGATCGAGTCCTGCATCGGGCTCCCTGCTCAGCGGGGAGTCTGCTTCTCCCTCTGACCCTCCCCCCTCTCATGTGCTCTCTCCCTCATTCTCTCTCTCAAATAAATGGATAAAATCTTTAAAAAAAATTAATTTCAATGAATTAAAAACCAGAGTGAAAAGTAAATCTTTAAAACTTTTAGATCTTAAAAAAAAGATGTTATTTGGGGTACAAAAGATTAAAAAATTTTTTTTAATTTATTTTTGGGAGCATGAGCAAGCATGAACATGAGTTGGGGGAGGGATGGGGGGTAGAGGGACAAGCGGACTCCACACTGAGCCAGACACGGGGCTCGATCTCACGACCCTGAGATCATGACCTGAGCTGAAACCAAGAGTCGGATGCTTAACCTACTGCACCACCCAGGCGCCCCAAAAACGTTTTTTTTTTTTTTTTAAGATTTTATTTATTAGAGCACAAGTAGGCAGAGTGGCAGGCAGAGTGGGAGGGAGAAGCAGGCTTTTGCCGAGCAGGGAGCCCGATGCGGGGCTGGATCCCAGGACCCTGGGATCACGACCTGAGCCAAAGGCAGATGCTTACTGACTGAGCCACCCAGGCGCCCCCGTAAAACGTTTCTTAAATTAGAGACAAAAATACTGTGAAAGAGAAGTTTGACGGATTTGCCTACATGAGACTATAAACCTTCCTTATTAAAAGATGCTACAAAGGGTTGCACAGAGAAGTTGTGGGCTGTTAGGAGGTACCTTTACCTCCTGTACCTGATGAACAATTAGTATCCAGATGAGTAAGAGCTGCTTAGTCCGTAAGGGATAGATGGCCCAGTGGAGAAACCAGTGAAGAATGCGAATGAGCGGTTCACCCAAGAGGAGACCAGAATCGTTACAGAGTGTGACAAGATCCTCAGCCTCACGGGAAATCAGGGAAACACCCTCTCCAGATTGCAAGTGTCCCCGTACAGATGTGTTGCATTTCCCCACTGTTTCCAGCTTCAGCTGCCACTGCCAGGTTGGAGACACTTGACAGTCTTGGGGTGTTCTTGGGGCTGTCACCCTCTCCTTTGTCCCTGTTGATGCTGATCCCGGGGACGTCCATAGAGGTAGCTTTCTGTGCTGGACCCCACCCTCTAGCTGTCACTTAGTTTGTTTCGTGGATGCCACTAATTATCCATCGAGTCGGCTCTCCGTGCTAAGAAGTAGCAGTAGATGGAGTTAGTGGTCATGTACCACCATTTTATGTCTGCCGTATGGACTCTTGCTATCGTCAGCTGAACCCCCACCCTCCGCGGTGGCTGGGACGCGCCTCACAGCGGCCTGCGCTGCGTCTGGTCGGCCCACGGCCTCCAGCGCATCCCATGGCAGCTTCCGCAGTCCTTTCGGCCTGTGCCCACTACTAACATCTTGTGTTTACAGTCTAGGAGTAAAGACACTTGAAAGCAGGTCAGCTGGCATTTTCAAGTTGGAAGAAGTAGGAAGTTATAAGGCCGGCAAGTAACCTGGGAAGTGAAATTAGACATAACCATTTGAAAAAGTTGACATAAGTAACTGGCCAAAATTTAGGATGGATAATATATAAGACAGAGTAAAACAAGTGATTCTCTATTCACTCTGGTGCAAGATTGCGTTTTATTTTGGTTATAACTATTTCAGATATTAGACTATCTTGTTAACATTTTAATATTACAGTTAAACAGAAAGAAGCCACTTTTAAAAAGATGTGATTTTAAAAAACATTCCACACTTGCCTTCAAGTTAGTGTTTATTACAGTATGAGACTAGTTATTTTTCCCATCATGACTTCCTCTTTTTTCCTTCCAATATATGTGTTCATGAAAATGGGTCCTTTATAAATTCAAGGCATTTGGAACTACCTCACCAGGAAATCAAGGAAAAGCACATTTACTAGAGTGTGGCACTACTTTTATCTTTAGGAATTAGCTACTGTTTAAAAACCCCCACAACAACCTAGTGTTACTGAGAATGTGACAAAATGAACCCAAGTATGCGTTGCTCTGGGAATGCAAATTAGAGCTAGCTCTTTGGAAAGCGAGGTACAAAGCTGTTACGTGTATTTGCTCTGGCGATATGATTATGGATAATTCCTACTATTATATTACTTTCCTAGTTTTCTGTAGCAAGTATGTGTTCTGTAATTGAAAATGAGAAGTGTTAAGTTTTAAAATTTTATGTAAAATGTAAACATGAATGTAAATTATTTTCAAGGCACATCCAGAACTTACCAATATACCTAAAGAAGAAACTGTTACTTCAGTTTCATAGAATTGCATTTTGTTTCAGGTTAAGGAACTGAATCATTATCTGGAAGCTGAGAAATCTTGCAGGACTGACCTGGAGATGTACGTAGCTGTTCTGAATACTCAGAAATCCGTTTTACAGGAAGATGCCGAGAAACTGCGGAAGGAATTGCATGAAGGTAAATATAGATTCTGTATATTTTTAGTCTCAGTCTCTAAGTAGAATTGATGCCGATTAAAAGCAATAACAAGTCCTAGACTCCAACATGTTGGTGATTCACTGTAAGCTTTGCAGTTGGTTCGAATGTTCTCATTGAAGGGCTGGAGCCAGGAGGTCTCCTAAAGATACATGGATTGTTAACAGCTCCTCTTCCCTCAAGGACCCCAGGAATAACTTCCCAGGGCATGAGCCATAGACAAGAGGGCTGGGAAGTTCTGCTTAAATTGCTTTTGCCCCCAAGATTCATTTTGATGGAGGTAGATTAGCAAGAGTAAAAATGGGACAGAGGGCAGATCCTGTATTCTGGCGGCCTCAAGTAGCATCCCTGTTCGTAAGGGACAGTTTTGATTTCACTAGCCTGGTAGCAGAGTTCTACAGAAATTGACTCTTGTTTACCCAAGCCTGGGGGCAAAGGCTTATCTTTTCCCCATTAAAATAAAGATAGTGGGGTTTTTTATTTGTTTGGTTTTTTTTTTTTAAGATTTTAGTTGTCAGCGAGAGAGCACAAGCAGGGGGAGTGGGAGAGGGAGAAGCAGACGCCCCACTGAGCAGGGAGCCCGATGCGGGGCTTGATCCCAGGGCCCCAGGATCGTGACCTGAGCCGAAGGCAGATGCTTAACCGACTGAGCCACCCGGGCGCCCCTTACTTGGGGTTCTTAACCGCGTTGTGTCATGGACTCCTTTGGCAGTCTTGTGAAAGCCTCTTAAGGATACTGTTTTTCATTCCTAAAATACAAAAGCACTTATATTATGAAACAGTAATGAAAATATAAATAACTGCCATCTTACGATACAGTAACAAATGTGCTATTTTCTTAATGCCTTAAATGCAAAGGTTTGGGGCGGGTCTGGTCGAGGCTGTAGTCTGGAAGCAGTGCCGAGCCTCAGGGCTGTGTTGGGGTACCTGCAGCCACTGCAGTGGCTCTGGCCTCTGTTGGCCACTGGGTCGCAGGCACTGTCCTCCTTCCTGGGCTGGGTTGCCCACATTGTGGGTAATTGAGGGAAATGATAAATTTCAGTGAGAGCTTAGTAAACACACAGACCAACATTTCCTCATCTGGATGCATGGACCCCTTGAGACCTTGTATGTGTTGTGGGTTATACTAGGAACGCTTGCACAGGGGGTTTAGGACTGGGGTGAGAGAGTCCTACAGCGAATACTTTTTATGTATATCAAGTGCCGTGGGAAATAGAGCTCTTCCTCAGTAATTTAGGCTTGCCTATTTGGTTTTTTCCCCAAAGCTGAAATTCTATAAGCCTACAGAATTTTTCATAAAATATTAGGAAAATCACCCAAAGTTTGAACAGGTCTTTGGTTTTTCAGGAAGCACTTTTTGGATGTAGTGCTGTGTCAGAAAGACACGCAAACTCTGAGAGTGTCCAAAAGAAATAGGAATTTCTGTTTAAATGACATGCCCCAGCCCTTCCAGAAATAGTGTGAAACTACCAAGCCTTCCTAACCTATCTGGAAAAGTATCTGAGAAGTCTCATTAAATGAGTAAGGGCATAATTTCCATCCTGAAACACTCACACCAAAACTAGTACTCAAAGGAAGAGAAGGTACAACTTGAGCAGCCGTGTAACTTACAGCCTGAATCGGGAGAATTAGCCAAGTTAGTGCCTCTCCCGGGAGCCGGCTCGCAAGTGTGCTAGGAAGCGGCCGAGCGCAGGTGGGCTTCTTGAAAGAAGTTGTGAAGGGGGCTTTGACCGACAGGTGGCCATTTGTCAGGTGGCCAGAGATGAGCCTGATGTTCAAGGCCATTTGCACGTGGTGCAGCAAGGTCAAGAAGTGGAAGAAATTCGTTCGGCAAAGTTAGGATGCAAAGGGCAGAGGTGCAAATGCGAGCCAGATTGTGGTCACCTTGGGCTGAGGGTTTGGGATTTTATCAGATGGGCAGGAAGGAGCTTCTGAAAGGCTTTTAAAATGTTTTTCTTTTGGGCTCCCTGCTCAGTGTGGAGCCTGCTTCTCCCTCTGCCTCTGCCTCGGTCTGTCTCTCTGCCTCTCATGAATAAATAAATAAATCTTAAAATAAATAAAATGTTTTTCTTAAGTAACAGCTTTATGGAGGTGTAATTCACATGCCATGAAGCTCACTCTTTTAAAGTCTGCTGGACTCACAGAGCTGTGCACCATTATCAGTCTGATTTCCACAACAGTTTTGCTGCAAAAAGAAGTTCCGTCCTCATTACTAGTCACTTCCTTTTCTCTCCTTCCTCCCAGCAGCCCTGGTCTCCTTTCTGTCTGTACAGATTTGCTTATTCTGGACTTCCGTGTAGATGGCGTTATACAACATGTGGCCTCGTGTTTGGCTTTTCTGAAGGGGTTTAAACTTGAGAATGATCATCTAAATTTTGTACTTACGAAGTTTAGTTTGACAGCGGTATGGAGGGTCGGCCAGTGAGCGAGGACAAACGGCAGGAAGCGTACCGGTTGTGGGGGTCACGAGAGCTGGTCTGAGGCCGGCGGAGGAAAGCGCCGTGTCCGCCAGCACAGGGGGAGCTGGTGGGCGCCTGTCACAGGGGCTTTGGGTGCGGCGAGGCACGTCAGCCACGTGGGTGTCTTCTGGTTTCTGGCTTGAGTGACTTGTTCGTCAGGACAAGACGGCCGAGTGGGGCAGTGTCGGCAGTATCCGCCGATACGGAGAGCCTCTGACCTGTCCTGAGACTTCAGAACTGTGGGGTTGGGAAGGACTTCTGGGTCACAGGTTTGTCAGAAGGTATTTAAAGGCACTGAGTAGTGGTTACTGCACCTGTGGCATTTAGAGCAGTAGCTCCCAAAGTGTCTTCCCGGAACTTCCCTTGTTCTGTGAGTGGCACTGCCGGGAGGACTTTTTGGTCAGAGGAATTGGGGGAGTCCTGAATTCTGTATCCTCTTGCAGGAGGACACGGGCATACTTCAGAGGTTGAGCTCAAAGTCCTGCGGGGAAGGACCCTGTAAAAGTGCACTTAACCAGGGTTTCTAACGCTCACGGGGCACAGAAATCCTTTGTTCATGTGTCGCTGTTACTGGGAGCACGCTTGGGAGCCTCTGTGTGGGGAGAGGTGTGAGGACAGCTGCTGTGTGTCTGGCGGCAGGTCGCCCCTCGGTTCTTGTCCAAGGCGGAGTCCCAGATGGGGCGGACCGTCGGCCAGACCTGGTCTAGGGCCCCAGGTTACAGGAATTGCCTACCATTAAAATTCAGTGTTTCTGATTGGGGGGTTCCTAAACAGTGTGCCATCTCTTGGAGCAAGAGCGACAACAGCACAACCAGCTGAAACACACGTGGCAGAAGGCCAATGACCAGTTTCTGGAGTCTCAGCGTCTGCTCATGCGGGATATGCAGCGCATGGAGATCGTGCTCACGTCCGAACAGCTGCGGCAGGTGGAAGAGCTGAAGAAGAGAGATCAGGTGAGCGGCAGTTCTGGGCACGCGCTCGCTCTGCTGGTGCCCACGCAGCCTTGGCTCGGAGGCAGTGGACGCTCGCACCCTTTCAAAATGCGTGATAGCTGCATCAGAGGGATTTTGCTTCTCACCTTTAGAAGTGGCCTTGTCTGGGGGAAAAGAACTGATTCAGCAGTGCTCCTCTCTGGAAACTGCAGGACGCGACGCTGCATATTTCTGAGAAAATCTTCCTCCACGGCTCTGTCCGGTTCTCCCAGGGCTCTGGGATTCTGTTTGTCCGGGTCGCGTCTTTTGTGACGTTGCTCTGAAAGCCTCACTGGATGGTGACGGCATCGCAGGGGGGAGGGGCTGAGTGATCCCAAAGGGTAGGAGTCCAGAGGGCTGCTCACCCGAGATCCTGTTTTCTCCTTACCTTTTAAAAAGCTATCTGAATTACATGAGTAAGACACAAATACATCTCAGGTTAAAAATGCAACAATAAATACAAGTGATAAAGGAGAATCTCCCCAGCCACCTCCCTTCCAGGAGCGAGCACTTCTGTCCTCAGAAGTCTTCCTGCGGAGGGCGGTCCTCCAGGGCATTTGTCTGCGTTCGGAAGCGGGTGTTCGGGTTGGTTCAGAGGTGGCACAGGGAACGTATTCTGTGACCTCTGCACCAGAGAGCTCTCACTCTCGCTCACTGCCGGGGTGGGCACACCGTGATGGACTCGATCCCTGCCCCTGTCCCGGCGCCCAGATGGCTTCCCGTTCTGTGTTCTTCATTTCAAACAGTGGCGCGGCTCATCTCCTGCACCGTGTTGTGCGTGGGTGCAAAGATCTCCCCAGGAGAGCTAAGTAGAAGCTTTTCTAGGTACTGTGCAGATTGTTTAGATTGCCTTGTATGACTTAGGCTAGATTTTGGTTTTCAGAAGTTTCATCCTTTTTAAAATTTCTGTCTTTAATTGTGACTCATTCCTCTTCTGTGTAGACACAGCCAGCTTAAGGATCGAAACTGTAAATGCTGGAACTGGTCACTTGGGCCTGTATTAACATTTACCGAGGTTTTTCTACACGGTTTTTCCGCAGTGTGCGCAGGCTTTACCTGTAAAGCTTTGTGTCATGTAGTTCCCAGAGCAAACAGACACTGCAGCGCCCCAGGTGCAGTGCAGACTGTTGGCAGATCCCAGGTTCGAAGCCTGTGCCCCCGACTTCCCGTGTGCCTGCCCTGTTCTCAGCCACAGAAGGACACTTGGGGTCCCTTGTGTGCCTGCCCTCCCTGGAGCCCTTGCTCACCCCTCACCCGGTTGGCAGACTCTCTGCACTGATCCTTCCAGATCCAGCAGGTGCTGCTTTTGTGGGCCCGTTTGCAGCTGCCTCTGCGGAGAGCGTGGTGTTGCTCCTGAAGAAGCTTGTGGCCCCCCTCCCCCGGCCCGTGCGATGCCGAGGCCATGTCCCTGCCCGCAAGGCCGTTCTGGGGAGCCCTGAGGTGCCTGCTCATCTGTGTCGTGCAGATTGTTACATCAACTTCAGCCATTCGTTTTGTGTTCCACGTGAATTGGTACCTGTTTCTAGTGGCTGTGCCCTGCCTGCGTTCTGTAGTTGTCGGAGGGGACGGCCACGTAAACGCTCTCGGATCCCGTGACGGAGAGGGTGTGTTTTGTGTTGCTTTCTCATAGCGCACTCTTCTTGGAAGCGGCTTCCTGATTTCTCCTTTATGACAGGCTTCGTACTTTGTGCCTGTGGTGGTAAAACACTTTGTCAGGACCAGACATCCTGACAGTGATTACAAAGCAAATAAACTTCAGGGTCCAGTGTTCTCATGAAGCTTTGCTCCCTTTTATCTGTTTTGAGCGGCTAAAGAACTGTATGAATGGTGAAGTGTAGATCACCTGGGTGATGTATACATATATTTTCTTTAACTTCTAGGAGGAAGACGAACATCAGAGATTTCACAAGAGGAAGGACCATGACAGAACAGAGGTTGAGGAGGAGGCAAAAGCCCCAGCTGTGTGTGCTTTCGCACACGAGGAGTCTTCAGCCCAGCTGTCGAATGAGGAGGTAGGGTGAGTCTGTCGTTAGGGCCCCGTGTCCATGACGTGGCTGTGTGCGTGTGGGAGTGTGGAGCTGGAGCGAAGGTATTCTGTCTCACCGCATCGGTGGGCTCACGGCCAGGGCTCCGGAAACATGGGGGTCCTCTTACCATCGCTCAGCCACGTACAGGCTCTTTTTCCAGTGGTTCTCAAAGTAAGGCAGTGGAAGGGAGCTTAAAGGACACCTGCAAAATCTCTGTGGGGTGAATAGTAAATGTTGCCAGTACTTTGGCTTTTACTTTAAAATATGAGCTCAAGCCCTGAAGCCCCGAACCCCCCACAGCACATGCTTGTGTATCAGCGGATCTGAGGCTGTGGGCTCTGAGGAGTCAGGTGGAGTGGGGAGCCCCGGATGTGGAGAGGGGTGCTCCTGTGGCCTCGGGGCCCCTTGCCTCCCATCGGGGGTCCTGTCTGCAGCCTCTCGGCCCCCTGCGCGCCAGCATTACTGTCCCCTTCCCTTGTGGCAAGTGCAGCTGTGGCCAGGCCGCTCCCCTCCTCGGAGACCACACAGGCTCCCGTGATGGGCATGACAAGGTTCCGCTTCCTGCTTCACACCATTCCAGCCACAGTTGCCATCCCGTCATGCTTGCACGCTGGCTCCTTCTTCCGCCGTGCCGCCTCCCCTGCTCGCTCATCTTTAGGACGCAGGCTGACTGTTACCGCCTTCGGGATAAGAACGAAGGCCCCTGGCCTTCGAGCCCAGCGTGGCACAGAAGGGCCTGCACCACTGGGTGACCCTCTGTGCCTCCCATGCTCCCCACGTCTTCACAGCCGGACCTGTCTCCGTGCTGGCCGAGCTCACGCGCCTTGCGCCCACTGCCCCCAGCCCCGTCTCCGTCTCCTGGCCAGTCAGATCAGGGTCTGTTCCCACTTTCACGGGTACCGTGTGTCTGTGTAGTTGGCACGTGTACGCTCAGCCCTATGTAATCTGCTTCCTGGTGGCTTATATTTCCATGTTTACGGATTGTTGGACGTGAAAGTTTTAAAAATATCCTAGTGGACACTGAAAAGGATGATGTAATTGTTTTTCTACATTCTTTGTTTTGGGTCGTACATGAGAACCACTTGGCCTGATTCTGCTGTGCATTTTTTTAATGGTCAGACTCCCAGGAGAGTGTTTCAGCTTTTGGGTACTGCCAAGTATTATGTGGTTTCTGTGTGCAGGAATGTTTGAAAAAGTTTCAGACTTTTCAGAAAATATTTTAGCAGGAAAACAGGAAAGAGATTTGTTAGAATGTACAGTGAAATATTTAAAAAAATTTTTGATTCCGTCTTCATTGGTCTGTAGTATATATTGTGCATAACATTTCCTGACATTTGAAATATATTTTAGATTTTCAGATCTGATATTTTACAGTTTGAATGTGGAATATGCTTGTTTTGTATTGAGACTCATGACAATTTACTTTCGCCTGTTGATGTAAAGTTCAGAGTGGCTGCTTCGGAGACTTAGTTTTATGGCTAAAGACGATGAAAATTTGTAGGACCTGATACCTTCTTTAGTCTGATGTGTAGAGTATCCTTTTCTCACTACAGAAGTAATGTGTGTTCGCCATGGGAAATGTGGAAAGTACAGAAAGGGCCTACGAAACAAGGAGAGCTTCTGGGTGATTCTCCTGCCCAGACATGACCTCCACTAGCGTTCTAGTGCAGACCCCTGCTTCCTTCTTGTTTCTTTTCTCTGTTTCCAGAGTTAACGTGGGTGTATCTATTTTCACTTTTTAGGCATAACTCATATTTTAACCCTACATAATATTTTATGTAAATTTTTTGCTCTTAAATCTATCTTAGAGGTTTTGGCGTATCAGTAAACGTTTTCCCACAAGTGGTATTTAATAGCTGACAGCATTTCGGCAAGCACATGCCCCATAATTCCATCGTAATTGATTTATGCCCAGGCCTACAGGTCCACGCCATTGGAAAAAATGTGTAATGTGTAATGTTGCTCACGGTGTCCCTAGAAGTGAGTCACGTGCCCCGTGCAGAGCCATGTGCAGATACGGCAGCACTGGGTCACAAGGCATGGGCAAGAGCAAGTGGACAGCACGGACCCCAGGCATTATGGGGACTTTCGAAGGCAGGGGCAGGGCAAACCGCACAGGGCTGGCTGGTTTGAGGAATACCAGGAGGCGTGGTATAGAGTCTGTCCTTGGTGTCCTGGTGCCTGGCCCAAGGTTGATTTAGGGCGAGGGGCGTACTGGCGTGCGGCTGTGAGGGCAGGTAAAGGAGGTGGTTGGGGGCCGGACACAGGATGCGTCAGGTGTATGTGTGAGGCATGTTCGTAGGCGACTTGTGTCTTAATCGGAGGAGTCAGGTGGCTTGGAGGGACCGTCTCTCCCTGGCCAGCAAGGTCCTCAGAGTGGGAAAAACATCGTAAAACAGAAAATGAAAAATGGGATTGACAGACTAATAGTCAGATTGGTTCCATCTTTCACTAGTGTGGGAGTTTTCCTCATTATGAGGCACAGCATAATGCTGTTGCATGTAATTCTTCCCTGAACAGAACTCACCCTGGACTGTCCTGATTGCTCCCCTTAGTGCAAGCTATGGGGAGAGGACCGCCGAGTTTAAGGGCATAGATGTTTTTCAGGTATCGGCACATACTGTCGAGTCATCTTTGAGAAACCCCCCACAGTTCACGCTGCCCCGGGAGTGTGTGCCCCCTGCGTGGTCGCGGGCTCCGTGGTCTGGCGTGTTTCCTGCCGCTGCCCCTCCCCTCCTCCATGTCCGTGAGGCAGCGCTCGCGGGAGGCTCCGTCGTAAGCCAGCAGCTTACGTAAGCCCGCCCCGGCTTGTATCGGGCACTTACTCGGGACCTCGGCTGTAGCTACAGACTAGATGTGTGTTCCTCAGCCATCTGAATCTCGCAGATGAAAAACATCTTTATACAGAAAGAAATGGAGGAATTCACTTAAAAGTTTTGTATTTCAGTCTTTTCCAGTTCATAAAGGAAAGGGCGTTTAACAACAAAAAGTAGACGGGGTATTATCTTGAAACAAAGGCTGGTCCTTTAAATCGAATATGTTGAATTTTAAGAAACACTTGCACGTTTCCGGTTTTCTGGGTTTCTGGGTTTCTGGGTTTCCTGGTCACTGTGCGGCTGCCTCGTAGGGCACACTGCTGTGCTGTTCGCACTTTGGAAACACACTGCCCTGCGTGTCTTTTTAATTGAGCTGAAATTCACACGTCCTAGAATTAACCACTTGAAGTGTGCACACACCATGTCTGTCTAGGTCCCCCACCCCAGGGGACCGCACGTCCTCCAAGGAGTCACTCCCCGGCTTCCTTTCCCCTCAGCCTTTGGCATCCACTGACTGGAGTTACTGGTTCTGGACACTTTGTGTACACGGAACCACATGGTGTGTGTTTTTTTACTTGCTGCACCCACTTGACATGCTTGTGACACCCTCCGGCATTCGACATTATTCTCATTTCCCTTCCACTCAGGCTACTCCTTCCTCCGTCCATCCCCAAAGTGGACGGAATTGGTGTTTCTTGGGGCTCTGTCCTCAGCTCCCCCGTCCTGCAGACCCATCATGGGTGTTCCAAATTGCTGTTGTGACTTTATCATTATGTGGCGCTTCCTCTCCGGCCTCGGTCTGAAGACTTCTGGTCCCGGGGTTGGGTGCACATCTCCACGCGGGCGGACGAGGAGCACCTCACGTTTGGCGCACGTGGCACTGGGCTTCGGGAGACCATCCCTGACCCCGTGTCTGGGCTCAAGCCCCCACCTTGAGCCCCCAGAGCATTCACGGAGCTCTAGCCTGTCATCTCGTCACATAGGGTATTTTAGCTGCCTGCTTGCTTGCTTGCTTTTTTCATGGAACTGCACACATGTTGAGGTCAGGGTTTGCTCACAGCCGTGTCCTGAGCGCCTGGCTTAGTGTCCAGCATATAGAAGACACTCGGTAAACGTTTGTTCAGTGAGTATGGGAAGGGAACATGCTCAGGATTATCGTATGTAACATGTGGCAAACATGTTTACGATACGGTCGTTTTTGTCTCTGAAGTACAGAGTCGTCTGACTTGGCCACGTGTGTTTTCACATTTCAGGAGCATTTAGATAGCACCCACGGGTCAGTCCACTCGCTGGATGCGGACTTACTGTTGCCGTCTGGAGACCCGTTCGGTAAATCGGACACGGACATGTTTAAAGACGGACTCAGGAGAGCACAGTCTACCGACAGCTTGGGAACCTCAGGCTCACTGCAATCCAAAGCTTTAGGCTATAACTACAAAGCAAAATCTGCCGGAAACCTGGACGAATCAGATTTTGGACCGTTGGTTGGAGCAGATTCGGTGTCTGAGAACTTTGATACTGCCTCCCTTGGGTCACTGCAAATGCCAAGTGGGTTTATGCTAACCAAAGATCAGGAGAGAGCAATCAAGGCCATGACACCTGAGCAAGAGGAGACCGCATCTCTCCTCTCCAGTGTCACCCAGGGCGTGGAAAGTGCTTATGTGTCCCCCAGTGGTTACCGCCTGGTCAGTGAGACCGAATGGAACCTCCTGCAGAAAGAGGTGAGCTGCCTTTCGGACTTCCTCTCTCTCGCTCGCTCTGCAGGATAGCGGGTAGCTGTGGGATTTATTGTCGGTTCACGAGATACCCCTGGAGTCCCTGCACACACGTGACTCCCAGTCCAGGTGGCTGTGGCCGGGGAGGGAACTGACTGGCCGATCACACTGGCTGTGAACCCCCCCCCCCCCGCCGCCCCCTGGAGTCCCACCTGAAGTGGAGCACAGGCAGCTTTATGTTGGAGGAGTCTAAATTTGGTTTGCTGTGCACTTGTCTCCAATCTCAGTGTACATCTCTCCTGGAGAGCTGGAGCGCAAATGCTTGTCAGCGGTCGATGAGCCAGTGCGTCCGTGTAAGGAGGGGGCAGAAACTGCGGGAGAGAGAGGTTCATCTTCCTCCTAAGCGTGTGTGCAGACTCAGAAGTAGGATTAGGAGCTAAGCTTTATGCCTTGCGCAGTGGCTCACGGGTTCACACAGCCCTGTGTTCTGGCTTCAGGATGATAGTGCCATTGTCCCCAGCTTTACAGGGGAGGGCTTTGCTTCAGGCCGCGGGAGTCGTGCAGGTGTTCCCGGGAACTGGGAGCAGGGAGATGGGGGTCAGGGGCCACGTTCTCTGACTCGCAGTGCTTTCTTTCACGGGACCCACGTCTCCTGAAGGAACTGTTGAGCAGTGAGTGGAACTGCAGACGAAGCCTCACAGCAGCCGCCCCCCCTTGGTCTCACGCAGGACGTGTAGCTTATGGGGTGGCGGCTTGTGGTTGGAGCCGGGGCACTGGCCCGTGGGCGCTGGTTGCTCCCGGCCGAGGCCCCTCTCCTGGTGGTGTACTCACTCACAGTGTGTGGCTCTCGGCTTGGGACCTGTGGCCTCGTGTTTTCCTCCAGTGCCGTATCTCGTGGCCCTTGTTTCGTGTCGTGCTTGTATTGGCGTTTATGGCGTCTTAGAATCCAACCCTATATTGCCATAAATCTCTGAAGACATTGTCTACCCCGTCCCTGTTCTCCTCTGAGTAACGTAGGTACGACTGCATGTGTTCAAGTATGCGATGTGGAATTATGTTGTTCTGCCTGATAAGAGGTCATTTTGGTGCCTTCAGGTACATAACGCGGGAAATAAACTTGGTAGACGTTGCGATATGTGCTCCAATTATGAGAAACAGTTACAAGGGATTCAGATTCAGGAGGCTGAGACCAGAGACCAGGTGAGTTTCTTTTGGCATATGCCAAACTGCTGATGTTGGCCTTCTCAGCGGAGGCGCAGAAATAACGGCTTCTTCCCTCCCATTTGCTTGGTGAAGTATATCTGTGTGAAATACGAAATAAGCCGGTTTGTGCAGCGTCAGCTGCATTCCCTGGGGGGCACACCAGGACCTTCCCTTCTGTCCCTTCTGTCTGGGCTTGGTTAGCTCGCCTAGCACCATGCAGGCCGGCTCTGCTCTCGCAGGGCCAGGAGCACCGGGGCATCGGATCTTGCCGCCTGCTCTTCCTGCCCGCGGCCGCCGGCCACATGGTCAGGAGCGTGCGCCTGTGCACAGTGCTCCCCCACGTGGGGCCTGACGGAGGGGAGGGGTACTGTTGCTGCAGCTGACTGGGCAAAGCTTAGTTGAATATCATCTTAACCATTATTTAGAGGCTTCATTGCTTATTGCCTACTTCTTGTCAGAAATCTGTTGAACTGATTGAGGTTAGTTTTCAGGAGCACAGAAATTAAGATTTGGTAGATTTTGTATGCAGAGATTGACAGGTACCTTTCCAAATATAGTGTCTAATGATGGATTCCTTGAGAACATTTAGGGAATGTGGAATTTCAGGAGAGTGGGCTTGTGAACGGATATAGAAGGAAAATTTTTTTTTATATTTCCGAATTGTTGTTTGATTATTGTAGAGATTGTTCCCTTAGTTCCCTTAAAATAAAGTAAGCAGATTAGAATGATGGTTTAATATTTTCAAATGCTATTGGCTTTCATTTCCTCCGTATGTACTAGTTTCTGTAGATGCTGGAAACATAACTTTCTAGAGGTGCAGGGGGGCGTGTATAGCCTCACTGTGCGCTCAGGGAAGGCAACGCTTGAGCTAGGTTCATTTTAGAGCTCTAATAAAAATCAGGAGAAGAAGTGGGAAAGGGTGTTCAAGGACAGGAAAGGTGCGCGAAGGAACAGTTACGAAGGGGACCGCTGTGTTCTGGAAGCACGAGTCGCGCAGGGGCCGGGTGGGGGGCCTGGGAGGGGACAGAGCGCTACAGAGGGGGGCCAGGGTGAGACCACCGAGGGAGTGGTGCTGTGGACGGCGTTTGGGTTCTGCCCTGAAGACTTTGGGACGCATTTAGAAGTTCCAAGTAGGGAAATAATATGATTTGACTTCTGTTTTAGAGAAAATCATAGTGTTAGTGTGGGTTGCAGATTGGAGGCCGAGGATAGCCCAGACTAAGGGGGCGGTGCCCCGGCCGGCAGCACCAGGCAGAAGAGCAGACCTTCTCAGAGGAGGTAACGTACGTGAGAAGGGGTTTGTTAACCGTAGAGCTCGGCACCGGCCCCGAATGAGGTCAGTCGTTCTGAATTGACCGATCAGGAAGAAGAAAGGTGAGGTTTTTAAAATTTCTGGAGCTAGGGCTTTTTTTTTCCATGAAGGAAAGAATCCTCAGGAACTTGTCCCGATTGGCATTTACAATTGCGCAGGTGAAGAAACTGCAGGCGATGCTGAGGCAGGCGAACGAGCAGCTGGAGGGGACGGCGAGAGAACGGCTGGAGCTGGAGGGCGCTCTGAGCCGCAGCGCCCAGGACGCCGGCCACCAGGTACGCGGGGCCGGGGCACCCCCACGCCGCCCGCCCGGACGCCCACGCGGCCCAGAGCCGGCGGCTCTGCAGTCACGGCCCTGTCTCTCCCCCGGGCCTGCCCGGCAGCTCTGTTTTCCCTCAGGGAGTAAAGATCTCTTCCGGATCTGTGCCTGCTGTCGGCCTCACAGATCTTTGACGAGTAACTTCGTAAACGACTGCGTAACCGGTATCAGCAAGCTCTCATTTTTGTTTTCAGTAGGTTTTTCTGCTGCAAAAAAACCTTCCCAACAGGAATGATACTTTTTAAGTTCCCCCGGACTTATTAAATGTATGACAGAGAAAACTCAGACCTGCAGGACAGACCCAGCACACCCCTCCGCGTCCCCGTCAGGACCGCACGGCAGGGCGTGAGCCCGCGTGCCAGGCCCGCCCCTCCCTGGCTTCTGACCCCATCAGCTGAGTCCGCGTGTGTTGTCTGGTCTTCCTCCTGCGGCGTCGTGAGGCTCTTCTCACCCGACGCTGGCTGCTTCCCCGTGCTTGTCGTGCGCCTGAACTGTGTGCGGATCTGTCAGTCTGTCCTGACACATTCGGAGTAATTCTGCTGTGAAGTTTCCGGATGGGTCTTGTGGCACGAGTCGTGCCCGGGTCGGGGTGTTCAGAGCGCACTCCGTGCATAACTGGGTAACGAGCCAGACCGTGTCCACAGCGGTCGTCCACATGTCCACTCCCGCTAGCACGCACGGGGGGTCCCTGTGGGCCCATCGTCCTGGTAGCTGGTTGTGGTGCTTCACGGAGGCTTCGTTTGCATTTCCCTGAAGACCACCGGGTTACGTGGCACTTGTCCTGTTTCTGGACCACTGGGCTATCTGTGTGTGTGTGTGTGTGTGTCCTCTCAAGTCTTATGCTGATTTTCTATTGGATTGTCTAGTCTTTGTTTTATTTATCTGTTTTTGGTTCTTTTTCTGATTTGTGAGAAGCTCTTTATACAATTGTACTAGAGCCTTTTGGTGACTTGTGTGGCACACGTCTGCTCATCAGTATTTTATGTTTTCATTATTTTGATAGTGCCTTTTCATGAACAGAAGTTCTTGACTTTCATGTAGTCAAATTTATCCATCTTTTCTTTATGATTGGTGATTTTTGTTCCGTTTTTTAAAAGAACATTTACTTGGGGCGCCTGGGTTGCGCAGTCAGTTGAGCATCCAACTCTTGATCTCGGCTCAGGTCATGACCTCAGGGTCGTGGGACTGAGCCCCACGTTGGGCTCTGAGCTCAGTGGGGAGTCTGTTTGAGATTCTTTCCCTCCCTCTTCCTCCCCCTCGGTTCCTCTCCCTGCTCATGTGCTTGTGCTCACTCACTCTCTAAATAATAAAAATCTTAAAAAAGAATATTTTCTTACCCGGGTGTTAAAAAGATGTTTTTATATATTTTTGTAGAAGCTTCATTGTTTGTAGTCACATTTATATCTAAAAATCCATCTAGAACTGACTTTGCTCTAGAGGCTGTATAGACAAGGGTGAAGTTTTATTTTTCCGTATGGAGAGCCGGTTCCCGTGCCACTCAGGTTCCTACTGCTCTGCAAGGTCACCTGTGTCATGCATCAAGTGAATGTGTGGGGGGCGTCAGTTTCGGGACTCTGTTCTCTTCAACTGGTCCGTTTGTCCGTTTCTATGCCACCTTCTCTAGCCCTCGTCCCCAAGAACGCCCCCCCCCCCCGCTCTTCCGCTTCGGGGACCCTGCCCTGGCGCTGGGATCAGAGTCTCGGTCTTCGTTGCCACGGAAGTGGGAAAGCCCCCCGTGAGCAGTCAGTTCACTCCTGGGTGAGTCGCTTCTTCCCCTGGTGACTCCCTTCTCTCAGCTGCCTGCCTTTGCTTATTTTTCAGAGTCCTGGGGTAGCTTTTGGATTTATCCAGAGTTTTTAGTTGTAATCAGGGTAGAGAAAGGCGGCTGTGGGCCTCGTCCATCTTGGAAGTCTCCACTCTCTCATATTTTTGTTTATTTAGACAGATCTTTTTATTTCCACCTTCATCCAAGAAGGATACTTGGCCGGCTGTGGCATCCTGAGCACTTACGCTGTTCTCCTCTCGCGCTTGGAAGTTACTGGTTTGCTCTGGCTTCCCAGTTTCTCATAAGAAGTCTGCTGTCGGTCTTACTGTTGCTCCTTTAGGTAAAATGTTATTTTTTCCCCTGGCTATTTTAAGGATGCTCTTTTTGGCTTTTGTTTTCAGCAGTTTTACTGTGCTGTACCTAGATGTATTTTTTTCATATTTCTCCTGTTTGGGATTCTCAGAGGGTTTCTTAGATTTCTGAATTGATGTCTTACATCATAATTGGAATAGTCTCAGCCATTATGTATCTTTTAAAACTTGCTTTTATTGAGATATTACGTAAAGTGCGTAAATCTCAAGTGTAAAATTTGGTGAATTTTAACATGTGAAAAAATTTACCAGGGCGATCATCACCTGGATCAAGATACAGACTTTCTGATACATCGCGCTGTGTCCTGCTGAAGGACAGAGCTGCCCGCACAGAGAGGCAGGCGGGGTTCTGACTTCGAACACTGTTTCGCTCACTCGTGAACTTCCTGTAAGTTCAGGGGAATCCTGTCACCCCATCTGGGCTATTCGAGTCTTCTGTGTGTGAGGCTCCTGCATGTTGCTGGGTACATCAGTGGTTAGAGATCCCTGCTGTGTGCATTCTGTTACACAGATGTGGCATAATGCATCCAGTGCAGGTGGGGACACTTGCGTCGTTTCTAGTTTTGGCTTTTGTGCACATACATTTTCTAATGCTCCTGTGTGTGTCTTCGGTGGACATGTGGCCTCATTTCTCTGGAGCGTCCCTCAGAGTAGATTACAGGGTCTCTGCATTGGCTTACTTTTAGCTCCACTGGGTTGGCGGTATTTCTTCCAATAGTTATATATGTTACACCTGCGCGTTGTGGCTACATGGCTTTTTAAGGCTCTTTTGTATTTTCTTTTTTGTCTTTATTTTCTTCAGATGTGTCTTACAGCTCACCGACTTTCTCTTCAAATGGGTCTAATCTGTTAAAACTCATCCATTGAAATTTTTAACTTAGATAATTGATTTTTTTTTTCTGTTTATCATTTCCTTTTGGTTACTTTCCATTGTTTCCAGTTCTCTGGTAGTTCTAAATTCTGTCTTTTAAATCTCTGGACATTTTAAAGTCTGTAATAATTCACAAATCTGGATTCATTTTAGATCTGTTTGTATTACCTGTGTTGTTTTTTATTATTTCTTTTTGTTTTTATCCTTTGTGCATTTTTACTTGAGTGCTAGACATTATATGTGAAAATGTTGAAATAATATAAAGCCATTTTCTTGGCGCGCCTGGGTGATTCATTCGGTGAAGCGTCTGCCTTAGACTCAGGTCGTGATCTCAGGGTCCTGGGATCGGTCCCGCGTCGGGCTCCCTGCTCAGCGGGAAGCCTGCTTCTCCCTCTGCCTCTGCCTCTGCCTCTCCTCCTTGCTCATGCTCTCTCTCTCTCAAATAAATAAATAAAACTCTTAAAAAAAAAAAAAAGCCGTTTTCCTGATGAGAGGCAAGCAACTAGTGGGCCATACAATTCTGGACCACCTTCATGCGGCCACAGGAATTGAGATTATATAAAGTTGCAAAGGTCAGGTTAAAGTCTTCCCTAACCCTCTGGGGACCCAGTCCACAGTGCAGCGTGTTTCCCAGGCTCCCTTTGCACCGTGGGCCCTGGACTCTCATGTCTGCCACCCCACCCTGGGGCTCTCAGCTTCGTGGTGTCACGTGTGTTTCTCTTGGAACTGGCACGCGCTTCTAGGGAAGAGCTGTTCCCGATGCCTCTTGACTCTCCACACGGCCTCCGTCTGGTCCGGGGCTCTGTGAATCTTTTTTGCCCTGTTCTCCAGTGCCTTCAAGTAGATACCGTTCATATTTTTGTCTGGTTTTCCTAATTCTCAACAGGAAGTTTGTGTCCCATGACCTGATCTGCCAGTACTGGGAGCAGAGTACTGGCAATAATCATGTTCTCAATGTCCAAACACATGGGTGTTGACTTATTTTATAATTGTTATGTACGAGTCCCCAACTCTCACAGGACCCCTCTCAGAAACATTAAAACTAAGGGAGTTGAGAGTTCAGTGACGTTAATCATGTGTTCATTGCTTTTAAGGAAATCATTTTGGAAGGAAACTAGTTCAGAGAAGATCCATTTATGCTTTACACTGTGCACTTTTTTTTTTGTGGGCAGAGTTCAAAATTTTTATTGATTTTTTTTTTTTTTTTTTTTCTAAAAGCTCCTTAAAGGATAATATAAGTAGGCCATGTGAATTGACATCTGTGTCTAGAGATCCATACGGCACCGTCCGTGTACGGTAGTGCACGACCCTGGGGACCTCTGCTGCCGGCCCCGTGTGACGTGTAGGGCTGAGACACAGCAGAGGCACGCGCGTCTGTGGAATGAGTGATGATGGGTTACGATGAAGGAAGAAAACATCAGTTCTGGACGTGAAATAAGCAGGGGATGGAAGGGTTCGTGTCAGAATCACCAGCTTCCTAACGATACTGTCTATGTGCATTTTTGTCTTTTAAGATCTCTGCACTTGTCCTAAGAGCCCAGGCGTCTGAGATCTTACTTGAAGAGTTACAGCAGGGGTTTTCCCAGGCAAAAAGGGATGTTCAGGAGCAGATGGTAAGTTAACATTTAAATTAGCACTAACCGTGTTAAATAGATTGCTTTGTGTTCGGTCGTGAGACCCTCCTTGCTATGACTGTGTCTCCCTGGCCCATTGGCCACACTGTTCCTCTGTCTGGGGCCGAAGCAGCCTTCGTGATGGACAAACCTGTGTAAAGACCTCACTCGTTTTTTAAACCTGCCTCCCAACCAAAAAACACTCTCACCTTTAACTTACTTTACTTTTCTGATTTGGGCAACCTCAACAGAATAAACTGTTGACTAATAGTTGGTTCCAAATACAAGGCGAACATTGAAATCTCCCAAAGCCCCCGCAGATGGAGCTTTTGAACCGTCCTTGTGCTTCTCCTGACCGGCTGATTGATTGAAAGTAGCCTCATTAGCCTCACAGGCGTTGACATGTGCACCATCACCGCTGTGCCGCGGGGGGCTTCTGGAGGCTATCTGCCTTGGGAGGGACGGGGCAGACAGCTTCTGGAAGAAGAGCTGGCTGGGACCCCTGCCGAGGAGCTCCCCAGCCTGGAGCCTCCTTCCTCACCAGGCTCGTTCCATTTGCCTGTTCTTCCTTCTCCTCGAAGCTGGAACCTGACATCTGATGACCCTTTGTAGGTGATGGCAGAGTTGGCCCTGCTGGGATGATCCCACAGAGCTTTCTCTCGTCCAGCTCCGTCAGCGACGGTGGGGGGAAAGCCTCTGGCTCTATGGGAATGGGAATGGTTTGTTTTTGACCGGCAGCCCGTCAGCGTCTGAGTGTCTTTTGAGCTGATCCCTAAATACTAGCCCTGGTCTCTTGAGGAGCATCTCATTCTAATCATTGACCAGGGACTTCCATACCTTTTCATTGATCAGAGAATACGAAATGATAACCGTCAGTGTAAAAATCACTGCTAGATGCCGACCGAGTTTCAGTGTTTAGCTCCTTTGCCTCCTCTCCTCTCTCCCCTGCTTGCCTTGTCAAGCCCGTCTGCCTTTGCCAACACTTCCGAGTGGACTCCACTTAAAACGAATGCGTTGCACGTCACACAGAAGAAGTGTTCAGAGTAGGGTTGGGGTCCTGCCCGACCGTCTTCTTGATTTGATCTTCGAAGGTTCTTGTAGCGAGGAAGAGGGACTCCGTTTCTTTGTCCCTTCACACAAGAGCAGCTATGGCCATGCCTGGGATCTTAGCATCTCCCCAACAGTGTCTTTGGAAAAATGTCCATCTTGAGTGGCTTAAACATTCCTAACGTCTTCAGTGAGACTTACCAGTGGTCAGTATTTGGCCACATTTTCATGTGTACTGCTGTGTTTTCTCCATCTCTTCCATCTGTGGGTGTGTGTGTGTTTTCTGAGCCGTTAGGAAATCAGTTGCAGACTCTGTGCCACTCGGGAATATTTGTGCATGCATTTCCCGAGAACAGAGAGGTGATTCTACTCCATCCTTAAAATGTGACCATGGTCCCCAAAGTGCGTGGCTGTTTGTAGAGGTGGTTTCAGTTTTTTATTCTGATTTTTTGATGGAGGAACCAGTCAAGGGTCACATACTATTTTTGACTGTCTTGTCACTTTAGTCTCTATTAATAATCTAGAACAGTCACCCCTTTTTTGGGGGGCGTGTTTTGTGACATTAGCATTTTTGTGGAGCCCAGACCAGCTGCCTCCTAGGATCACGTGTCTGGTTACTCCCGCGCGATTTGGTTCAGGTTAGAGGTCTGGGCGCCCACGGTACAGAGATGTAGCCCGTCAGTGGGGGCTCCGAGCAGCAGGGGGGGTGCTCAGTCCTGTCACTTGGTTGGGGCAGGGACACCATAGTTTCCAAGCGACCACTTTAGTGCTGCCAACAGCAGAAGTATTGAGTGAGGTTCCGTGTTTCTTTGTAGCTCTTGCTCTTTGAATGTATCCTGGCTAAGAATTTACAGTCAGCCTGCCGTGTTTCCAAAGTTACTTGAATTAACTATTTCCTTTGTGGTTATGTTGCTAGTTTGATACGTGGTGAGCTGCATTTGTTCCTGTTTGTATTACATTTTCGGATTTTCCTTTTTCTTTTTTGATTTACTTTTTTTTTTGAACATGTAACATGGTTCATAAGTCAAAACTATAAAAATGGATACATGTTCCGATTTCTTCCATTCCCTATTCCCCTCCCACCATTCGTACCCCCTTCCATGTATGATCATTTTAATTTATTTTTGGTTTATCCTTATGCTTTTGTCTTTACGAAAGTAGCAACTATGTACATTTTATTCTTTCCCCCTTTTTCATGTCCCAGAGAGTGGAATGCTAACATATTGTTGTAAATGGGTTAAAAGTGAGCATAAAACACAGTTGATTCTGGTCTGAAGATAAGAGCCAGCAAAATTAACCCAAATTTGTGTGTGACCTTGCATGCCTTCCAGCAGCCTTTCTGTCCTTCAGGATGCAGCGATCACCTTCTCTGGGAAATGACCTTGAGCCTCTCCCCTCAGAACCCCTGTGTCCTTTGACCCTGCTGCCCCGTTCTCTGTCCTAGTGCTTGCACTTGCCCTGGGTTGTCACTTTCCTGAGCCCTGTGAGCTTCTCCGGGCGGAGGCTCTGGCTCTTATCTCTGTGTCCCCGTGTGCAGCACAATGCCTCGTACGGCGTGGCAGCTGTTAAAGGAATGTTGGAGCAGTGAGTAGTCTACACTTATACATACATTTAAGTTAAACGATTGAGTATTAAAAATTAGCAGAAGTCAAACACTTTTGTAGAATTTTATTATACACTCAAATTAGCGGGAATAACTTTTATATTGATTCAGATTCTCATTACCTAAAATTATACTGCATGTCTGCATGTAGAAGTAGGAGCCTGTCCCATTTTAAGAATGAGCTGCTCAGGTGTCCTGTAGGTCCTAAGCATGGATCCTCCTGATGACTTCCAGTATTTGGGGTCGTTGGGCCACTCACAGAGATCCTGAGCTGATTGTGCGTATATATGTATGTTCTGTGTACACACGCACGCACGTATGAAGGAGGTGGTCTTTCGCTCTCCCTGCTTCTGGTGAATGTGTGCTGTGAGGAGACGGGTTGTTTTGCAATATGTGCTGCATTTGTTGTAAGTCCTGCTGCGCCGGCGCGGGAGATACAGAGGTATCGGGGAAGAGGTTCAGTACTTTGAAGCTCTTGGTGGAGACCGTGGAGAATGGGCTCAGAGGCTTGCTTCCTGCCTGCCTCCTTGAGTAGAAGAAAAGACTGCAGATAGAGGCGTCTCTGGGCGGCTTCTTGTCAGTCCTACAGAGCGTTATCATGCGCCCCCCGTCCTCGGCCCTCCTTTGGTTCGACCTGGGTTTTCTCTGGGGCAGCTCTCAGCAGACTGGACCCTCCTGTGTGGCTGTGATTACCGTTTGCGTTTCAGGCGGTGCTGATGCAGTCGCGGGAGCAGGTCTCAGAAGAGCTGGCGAGGTTACAGAAGGACAACGACAGTCTGCAGGGGAAGCATAACTTGCATGTGGCCCTGCAGCAAGCAGAAGACTTCGTTCTCCCAGATGCTGCGGAGGTAACTCGTTTTACCCGGGATCAAAGATGCAGACACATACATTTTCTGAAATGGCTGCCAGCCAATTCCGGTTTAAAACAGGCTTTATCGAGATAGAATTCACTTACCAAATAATTCACCCACCAAATAATTCACCCATGTAAAGTGTACAGTCCAGTGGTTTTCAGTATGTTCTCGGATGTGACCACAGTCAATTTCAGAACATGTTTATAACCTCAGAAAGAAGCCCCTTCCCCTTCCTGCTCCCCGCTGCCCTGCCGTAAGCAACTGCTCACCTCTCTTCCTCCTGTGGATCGCCCTGTTGTGGACTTCCATGGGACTGGAAGCCTACGGTGTGTGGGTTGTGTGTGGTTCCTCCTCACAGCCGACTGTTGTCAGGGTCACGGTGCTGTAGAGCAGCGTCCGAACACCATCCCTTCTTGTGGCCACGTGGACGTTTTGTTTACCCGCCGGCCTGTGGCTGGGCATTCGGGGTGTCTCCATGTGTAAACATCCATGTGCACATTCGGGTTAGTTTGGGGGAGAGACCTCGGAGCAGAGTTGCGGGGGCCCGTGAGGATTTCTCCCGTCCTCACTATACCTCTCACTCAGCTGACCCTGAGCGTCTTCCCGTGTGTTTACTGGCCGGTTGTCTATGTTCTTCGGAGAAGTGTCTTTTCAGATCTTCTGCTCATTTCTAAATTGGGTTATTTATTTTTTATTGTGGAGTTATATGGTTCTCTATATGGTCTAGATCTAAGTCCCTCACCAGAGAAACAATTTGCAGATCTTTCTCCCCATTCTGTGGATTGTCTTTTTCATTGCCTTGACGGTGCCCTTTGAAGCACAAAAGCTCTGAGCTCTGAGAAAGTCTAGTTTGTGTGTTTTCCCTCCTGCCGCTCGCGCTCTCAGTGTGCCGAGAATCCTTGGCCGAATCGGTCCGTGAGTGACTCCCGCAGGACCAGACTGAGAGTGCACCAGAAATGAAATGTGTGAAGGGGTTGCCAGGCTTGGTTTTCTGTGTCACACTGTAAAGGGTGAATGGCACCTGCCACCCTCCTGCCCTTACTTCTGTGACACGTTGGGTCACTTCTGTTCCTCTGTCATGGGGTGAATCTGGGCCGTGAAACCACCTGCTTCCCAGAGACGTTCCTGACCGTCTCCCATCCGTGTACTGGCTGGGCCTGAGATCGGACGGATCTGGCGCATTCACACCTCCTGGCCCTCCCCACCCTCGTGTTGTTGCCCCATCATCAAATCCTTCAACATCAGCAAACCGCATCTGAGGCTAAACCTAAGGAGACTAAACAGTATAGGCAAGGAAGAGACTTCTTTGAGCAGTTTTCAAAATAAAATAGAGGTTACTTGTGAGATCCTTCAGTTTTTTAAAAAATATTATAGTTAATTATCTAAAAATCAACATTACAGAAATTTACAGTTTTGTAACAGTTTTCCCTGTCCTGTCCCTGCAGATCCGATCTCTGCAATTTGGGCCTCATTCTTTTTTTATTCCTGAATACATATTAACATCACTACTGGTTTTTGCTTTAATTTGCTCATGGGGCCACGCTGCTGACTTGCCACGAGCACCCCGTCTCTGCCCCTGCCCTCCCAACCCCGTGTCTCGGCGCAGGCCGCTGGTGCTCCCCTCTGTGAGCTGGTGGCTGATCTGGGCAGAGGGAGTTGAGAGTTCGAGTGCTGCCAGCACGGCCACCTTCTGACGAGCGGTTCTCTGCAGGCGTGGGATCCTCGTTCCCCGGCTCCTAGGCTGAATTCCTGGGCTGACCACACTTCCTAGAACGCTTGAAGGATGCCGCCAGTCGGCCTTGAGGCCTGACTCCTAGACCTGCTCCCGAGTCAGTCTTCGGAGGTTTTCCTTACCACGGTTTTCTCATGGCTCTTTTTTCTGCTGTTACTGATTTTACATACACCTGGTAGTTCCCTACGAAGCCCAGCGTTTACCTTAGAGGTGCTTTAGGATAGGATTGGATTTTTTTTAAAGACAACTAAAATTTAGGGAAATAAATAGGATTTAAACTAGAAAAACGGGATCACCTTGGCAGGCCGCTCTTTGCCCCGGCCTCTGGCCCAGCTAGCACTTCGCTTGTGGCGGACGTTGGCAATGCCCGTGTGTGAGGAGGTACGCTTCGTGCTCCGATTGCGCGCCTGCTTCGCGCGGAGCGTACGCCTTCTGGGTCCTCACCCCTAGCAGCCCCAGATTTCACGGCAGATTGTGGGAGCCGCGAAGCCCTTCACAGTGATTCCCACACGGCGAGTCCCTTAACGTTTTTCTTTTCTGCTTACGAGCCAGTTTTGAGGGAGAGACGTGCGGTCCAAGCGCACATTTCGGGCTGGAAAGGTCTTATTTCCGTGCCACGCCGAACGTCACCGCGGGGAGCCCTGAGGAGCTGGCGCTCCGTCTTAGGTTCCGCACCATTTAAAATCCGCGAGTCTGGCGGCGGAAAATGTCGGGGGGCTCTCATGGCCTCTGCCGCCACAAACCCGGTGCGCCCTGGCTTCTCGGGTGCAGGCGCTGCGGGAGCTGGTCCTCAAATATCGAGAGAGCATCGTGCACGTGCGCACCGCGGCCGAGCACACGGAGGAGAAGCTGAAGGCCGAGATCCTGTTCCTGAAGGAGCAGATCCAGGCGGAGCAGTGCTTAAAAGAGAACCTCGAGGAGACCCTGCAGCTGGAGATAGAAAACTGCAAGGAGGAGCTCGGTGAGCCCGCGGCCGAGCTGCGGGGCGGAGTGCGGGGTCCCGGGGAGGAGTGGGCGGGGACGCGGGTCGTGGGCGGGGCCGGGGAGGAGTGGGCGGGGACGCGGGCGGGGGGCGGGGCCGGGGAGGGGGGGGGGGGGCCGGGGGCGGTGGGGGGGGCCGGGGAGGAGGGGGCGGGGGCCGACTTTGGGGTCATAAACAGTTCTGTCTGGTTTTGGAATGTGGAAGACAGAAGATGGGTAGGGGCGGTCTAGGGAAAAATGAAGGGCTTTCCCGATGTTCTGATACATCCAGAGTAAATTCAGATTTAATTGGGACTTAAAAACGACAAAAATCCCCTATTTCGGGGAGTGGCGCTGGCTGCTCCTGGCAGGACCCCGCAGTGTCCCCAGAGCCCTCCTGGGCTGCCCCCCCCCGCCCGAGTTCGACGTGGTGCAGGACGCACTTGCCGCGTGGCCTCGCCGTCCTTGCGCTCCGTGCTGCTGCAGGCGGGCTGGGGGTACTTGGGAGAGGGGCGCTGGTGTCCCGGGCTCAGTGTCTGACTGCTTTTTCATCCTTTGAGATCGAGCTTATGGTAGGAAGGGGTGTAAACGAAGAGAACTGCAATGCAGAACAATCAGTGAGCGCTGACACTTCTCTTTCCCTTCCAGCTTCCATTTCTAGCCTAAAAGCTGAACTAGAGAGAATAAAAGTAGAAAAGGGACAGGTGAGTCTCCTGAGGGTCGCGCTAGTTCCACCCACAGCTGGGAGTTGTTCCTGGAAGACAGGCCCCGTCCCGCCCTCCGGGAGCGTCTGCCGGCTGCCCGCTGTGGTGGGGGGACAGGCAGGCGGGGTCTCTTACAAACGGGAGGGGATGTTTCTCGCTGGCTTGGGGTCCTCTTGACATCAACACCGCTGCCAACCGACCCCGTGACCTGCGCCCCCACCGGCCGCGCCCTTTGTCCCACAGGCCCGGCCGTCTGAGCCCCTCGTTCACACCGTGTGTTCTCGCTGTCCGTGGCTTCCGCGGGGCGGCCGTCTTTCCTTGTAAGCTGTTCGTCTCTCCTCGCAGTCTCCACACGCCCGCGGGCCGGGACTCTGTCCGTCTGCCCCAGGCTGCCGAGGCCCCGGCTGAGCCGCACCGCATGTCCATCCGTGTGCCCGTCCGCTGCCCCTTCCTCATGCCCCTCGCCCTCAGCTGTGACGGCCTCACGCCCGCCCTCCACACGACCACCTTCAGTGTCCTGGCTCCTCGCTGCGCGCCCTCCCCTCGCTCCCGGCCCGTTCTTGCTCCTGCAGGGAAGGGATGGCCTGCGTCTGCCGGCTGTTCTGTCGCCAACCCCTCCCAGTCGTGGGCCTGCAACCGTCCCCTCCTGATCTCTTTTCCGCAAACATGCCTGGGTCCCCGGTGGGACTGCACGGCCTCCGGTCCCTCCACAGCCCCGCACAGTCTGGCCACCCAAGCAGACATCACCCGCTTCAGAGCGCGTCCCATCTTGTCCACGTGCACCACCCATCTGGGCGCAGACGTCAGTGCTCGCCCCGCGTACCGCACCAGCCTGATGTCTTTCTCTGCCTCCAACACGCACCCCTTCCAGTTCCTCTTCGTACTGAAGCCCAGGTGGTCTTTCAGAATTACTAGGTCACAAACACGACTGTCGCTGTCAAACCCCGTGCTCCCGACGTCCCCAGGGTGGAGCCCGTTTTCCCGGCCCGGGGCCTCTCCTGCATCTGCCTGCACAGCCTGGTGCGGCCGGGACTCACCCCGGTTCCGAGAGCCATGCGCTCCCCCGCTCAAGTATCTTCCTGCCTTCTCCCCTTACCCCCCTCTCCTTCCCCTGGAGAGTTTTCTGTTAGGGGTCAGTGTCACGTCAGCTTTTCTGGCAGAATTAAACGCTGCTTCTCCGCGTTCACATGCCGTCAGTCCTGCAGCACACGTCTGTCTCCTGACTGCTCCGTCCCTGGGTCTCGGGACCTAGTAGGGACCTGATGGATGTCTGATGAAAGAAAGAGGGGGTCTTGAAGCCTGACCGGCAGGCGCACAGCGATGACAGGGTGGGGACAGCGTGGCCGCGGGCGTCCAGGGCCTGGGGCGCCCGAGGGCTGGGGCTGCTTCTCGGGCCCCAGGCACTTTCTCAGCTCGGCTTTCCCTTCCTTTCACAGCTGGAGGCCACCCTGGGAGAGAAGTCTCAGCAGCTCGAGGGCCTCCAGGAGATGAAAATCACTTTGGAGGAACAGTTAAGGAGAGAGGCTGCTGCTAAGGTGATATTTTTATTGGTAATTTAATAAAAGCAGCGCTAAGCCCACGGGGTCGCATGCTGCCTGTGTAGGAGAGGACGTGGCGGCTTGGAGCAGCGTCCCCCGAGGGCTGGCGGGCTGGCCGCGGGCGGGTGGCGGGGGGGGGGGGGGAGGACCTTGTGAGAGTCAGCTCACCCCCCACGGCCCGAAGCAGTGCTCGCTCTCAGCCGCCGTGGGCCCCGTCCCCCCAGTACGTGCGGCCCGAGGTCAGCCCAGTGGGGAGCAGCCTGCGCGAGGCTGACTGCGGGGCCTGGTTCCGAGAACGGGTCCCCGCGAGCCGTGTGCGCAGACTGACGGATAAGGACACTGCATCCGTGTTCCTGGACCGATCGGTGCCCTGAGGTTCCCGCGCGCTCCTACGGAAGGGCTTCCTTGCCGGGGGGACTGGGAGTTGCGGGGGCCGCCCGGGGCAGAGGCTGGCCTGTCGCCGTGGCTGCGGTGGCTCCAGTCGTAGCCCCGCAAATGCTGGCGAATCGTGGTCCCGGGGCCGCGGGGCGTGAGCTGAGCAGTGGGCGGCTTGGTACTCGCACCATTTCAGGAGGACGCCAGCGGGCCGCTCAGGCAGCCGTGCCCGGGGAGGCGCTGGACTCCGCGCGGCTGTCGTCGCGGAGACGCAGAGCTCGGCTTCCCGGGCCTGTGGCTCCGGGGCCCTGCTCCTCACCGGAAGCTGTCTTGTAGGCGACTGTGGAGCAGCTCATGTTCGAAGAGAAGAACAAAGCTCAGAGGCTGCAGACGGAGCTCGATGTCAGTGAGCAAGTCCAGAGAGACTTCGTGAAGCTTTCTCAGACCCTTCAGGTGAGGACAGGGCCCTTCCAGCCAGGCTGCTGCCTGCGCTGGGTTCCTGTCCTGGGTCCTGCTGGCCGCAGCAGCGCCTTCCCTCCGCTCAGCGCCCCCCGAGCCACCGCCCCGCACCCCTCCCTTCGAGGCCCAGCCTAGCGGGGTCCTCCCCGCAGAGCCTTATCGCCCCCCTGCCCGGCTGTGGTGCGCCTGCTGCCCCGGCCCTTGACGGACGCCTGTGGGGACATTCAGGAGGTGGTGCAGAACCCTCCAAGCTCGGGGTTCGATTTCCCCGAACTCAGCTGTGGAATCTGCGGGGTTCGGGGGTCGTCCATGCCACGGTCGCAGCCCTTAGCCTGGGCCTGTCGCACAGCAGCCCCTGGGGAGCAAATTGCTCTTTGGTTTTTTTTTTTTAAGATTTTATTTATTTGAGAGAATGAGAATGAGAGAGAGAGAGAGACAGCACACGAGAGGGGGGAGGGTCAGAGGGAGAAGCAGACTCCCCGCGGAGCAGGGAGCCCGATGCGGGACTTGATCCCGGGACTCCAGGACCGTGACCTGAGCCGGAGGCAGTCGCTCAACCGACTGAGCCGCCCAGGCGCCTGCGAATTGCTCTTTGACGGGCCCCGTGTCTGCGAGACCGACCCAGCTCTCGGGAAAATCCGGGCCCGAGGCGCACGCACTTGACTCCGTGTCACTTCCCAGGTGCAGCTGGAGCGGATCCGGCAGGCGGGCTCCCTGGAGCGGATCCGGGCGATCCTCAACGACACCAAGCTGACGGACATCAACCAGCTCCCCGAGACATGACACCCGAGCAGGACGCCGGCCTGCACCCTGGGTTTTTAACTCCTCTTAGAGCAACATTAATTATTTAACTCTTAACCGAAGAAGCCGCAAGAAAGGGAGCCCGGAGCGCTGCTTGCTTCTGGTGGGAGAGGACGCTGCGGCGTGGGAGACGTGCACGCAAGGACTTTCCCGTGGGGACAGACGGACACACTGGACTCGGGGGGGGTGGGGTCCGCTCGGTGACGGAGGAAGTGCTGCTTTATCCGTTTTCCTGCCTTTAAAGCAACATCCCAATCGTGTTTGGAATTACATTTTCTGTTCCTAGATATTGGAAGAGAGCCTTTCCTGTTTCTGTTGTCTCGAGTTCACCAGTAACCGTGTTCAGCTAGCAGACAGAGGTGTAGTGTGCTGTATGAGTATTTTATATTAAAATATGAAGTTCGCGAGCAGGCCATCGGCTAGGGGCCATCGGCTAGGGAGTGTATTGCTCAGCTCAGTGCATTTTCTTTCTTTTTTACCATTTTGTCTTGCGTTGGAGGACCTTCAATGCGACCGAGACTTGCCTGAGACCTACAGGACGGAGGTGACACCACCGATGCAGGCGCCGAATCAGTCGTGGGACTGAGTGTGGCGGGGCGCCCTGCATTGGAAGCCGAGGCTCAAGGAAAAGCACAAGAGACCGCGGAAGCACTTTTCTGCCCCCCTCCCCGGACGCGCTCTGCGGGCCCACAGGTACCAGGGTTAAGCCGAACGGGCACGTCTGCTCTTTTGAAAAACTGTTTTAGTTTAGTTATTGGATCAGTGGAGAAAATAATATTAATAAAACAAGCTATGTCTGACATCTAGTATAAGCTTCTAAATCTGCTTATTTCCACCTCGAGTCCATGGGCCTGTGCGCCTTGTTTCTGATCATCCCAGACAGATGCCTAGTTTGTTTCCCTTTTCTGACCTCGGTGTGGCGTGCGTACGGCCCGTGGGGGCCCCTGGGAAAGGCCGTTCGGGTCGCCACCAGGCTAGAGCGCTGCTGGCCATGTCTGTGAGGTCAGACCCCTCCCCTCTGTGTAGAAGGCTCGGTGAGCATGAGGTGCCGGGCGCCCTCGTGCGTCAGGGAGCACAGGGACCGTGCTCGTGCTCACTGGCGGCCGGCTGGGGCCCCGCGCGCAGCTGCGTCCTCAGGTGACCCTCGTGCTTGGTGTCAGTGGACGACGGAGACACTGGCTCAGCCACCGTCGATGTAGGGTTCGGAGTGGGTGGTCTTGCAGGACGGGGCTAGCCCAAAAAATGTCCCCCAAGGACAAGAGGAGGTCTACACCCCTCATTCCTTGGGCCCCTGGTGCAGTTGTCATAATTATGAATTTAACAGTAAATACTAATTATGGAAATAGTGCTCTAGGTTCACCACGCATGAAACGTGTTAATATTGGTTTAAACTCTCTCCGTAAAACAAGTGCTACTTGGTTTAGAGAAAGGAACCTGTATCCTCAGAGTTAGAGAGTTTCACTATGTGCACGACAAGCCACAGGCAGATTTCAGAGGACTGCAGCCGGGTCACAACCTTCCTGAATGGCCTCCATCTGCCCCCTGGGAATGCCGGCACCTCGCAGACCGTTTCCTCCCTCTGCAACCAACGGCGGTCTGCAGCGGCGGCCAACTGGGGGAGCCCGGCCGCGAACATGCTAGAGGAACCTCAGCGGAGACTCCTGGTTCTGCTCAGTCTTTCTGGTGTGAAACCGCAGTGACGCTACCCATGGAGGAAGCACTTCTTGAAACCGGGCTGTGTGTGAGACAGGAAGCGGCCGAGAAGGTGGGGTTCTGCCCCCGCAGACAAAGAACAGGTCGGCTGGCTTCCCCGAGCATCCGTGTGCTGGCATGGCTGACCCACCCCCTCACCTGGAACCTCCTTCCCTCCTGGCTCTTCCGCGGCGGTCACAGCTGCGTCCACCTTCTAGAACTCACACCGGGGGGTGCGAGAGATGACCTAACGCTGAGGACAGACCCACACCCGGAGAGGCTGCTCTCATGCTGAGGCCCGACCCACCCAGCACCCGTCGGGGACTGCTCGCAGCCGGCGCCGCTCTGGAGGGTGGTCCTGCCTGTCAGTCGCCCCTGCCCGGCTCTGAGCGGGCCTTGGGGGTGACCGTGTGACTGCACTCGACATGTGTCTTCGAGAAAGTGGTGTTAATCAGCCGCTGCCTCGTTCAGTCCTGGGGTTCTGGCTGCTACTAGAAAACGCAGCTCCTGTGTTGGCTGAGCACGGAGACGTGGGACGGTTTCAAAAGACCCTAGTTCCTTGCTGAACACGATCCTAAACTTCAACTTAAATATAAAGTACGTTCCAACTTTAAATAAAAGCATTTATTAGATCATTATAAAACCAGTAGGAAAGACTAATCACCAGGGCCCAGTCCGACAGCGCCTCTGCGTAGGGGAGGTAAGGCCACCTGTCGGAGCCTTCGCCGCGTCCACCCCCAGGGGCCCACTCCCTGTGCACTCAGAAGTTGACGTGGTTTCGGATATCATTGATCTGCTTCACCATCTCTCTTATGTGTTCACCCCTGTAAGATCATAGAGTCACTCAGTTCCGGGGACGCAAGGAACAAACAAGGCATTAACGCTCATGCCGAAGGAATTAAGCAGCGATGCTCGAGTGTGCGGGACGTGCTCCGCCGAAGCGAACCGTGCGAGCTTTCCACGCGGTGCGGTGGGGCTCGCTGCCCGGGGACCCCATCAGCCACACGACACGGTCCCGTCGCTGCCCCTCCCACCATCCTCGGCCCCTCGGCCCCTGGGACCCGTGAACGCGGGCGGCGCGGCAGGCGGCACTTACTCCTCCTTCAGGACGGACTGGATGCACCTGCGCTGGTAGGCGCTGAGAGCAATGGCGGGCTTCTGTGGGCTCAGCACCTTCTCCATCTTCCGCTGCTGATAGTCCTTCTTCATGGTAACCTCGAGTGTCAGAACACGGCCTGTGGCTGGCTGCGCTTCCACCGCCCCTCGGACTGAGCGCCCAGCGCCCACCGCCCACCGCCCACCGCCCCCGCCTACCTGCTTGATGGCGTTGCCCAGGTGCCGCAGCTGCTCAGGAATCAGCTGCAGCTCCTTCTTCATGTCCCTCTCGCTGTCGGACAGAACCGGCAGCTGAGTGTGGAATCGGTGCAGCACGGTCTTCGTCCTGGAGCGAGCCAGGCGGGCGGGTGTCTCAGGCCATGGGGGCACCGAGCGCACCAGAGCCCCGGGTCCTCGAGGGCGGCTCTGCGCCCCCCACGGGACGGGCGGGGCTCCCCCGCGCTGTCGCCCCAACGCCTCCTGGCACGGGCGGCGCCGTCCCTGCCCCAACAGGCTCAGTACCCTAGAGCTTGGGCCGGAACGTTCGCGGCCACTGACCTGCTCATGAGATCCTCTTGTCTCTCCCTGGCCTCCTCGTACTTGTCAGCCAAGCGCTCTGCCATTTCTCGGAGACTTTTCCTAACGGCAGAAACCAAGGGGCTCTCGGGCTGCACCCCAACACCGAAGCCAAGTGTGTGCTTCTGCGTCTGAGCGTTTGAACGGGAGACGCGGCCGCGTTCCCCGTTCGCTGGGGCACTTACCTCTCCTCGCGGCAGTAATTGAGGTCTTCCAGTTGTTTCTTCTTCTGGTCACATAACAGCTTGACCCTGGGGGAACACGGAGACTCAGCAGAAGTCGGGCCGGGCCGCTGGCGGGGCACGCGGGCGCGGGGCCGGGGTACCTGCGCTGGATCTCCTCCTTGGCCAGGTCCTGCTTCAGGATGTACTGCTCCCGGAACACCTGTGTGGCCCTGCTCAGCAACTGCAGGCATTCCTCCGGGGCGGGGGCCGCGTCTCCGTCGGACGACCTGGGAGAAGAGCATCTGCTGTGACTCCCTGTCTGCCCCGCAGCCCCTCTCCCTGCTTCTGCCCCCCCCCACCCCCCGTCACCCGCTGACGGCCCAGGCCCCGTTCCCCTCACGCCCAGCACGGCAGGACGTGGGAGCCAAGACCGCGGAGGACAGAGGACGGACAGGATGCAGAGACGGCCGAATGCAGAGACGGGAGCCTGGTAAAACCTGGACGCCCCAAAGCTCATACTTCAAAAAGGCGGGATTTGCAACACTCCGTTGTAAAATGCTTCTGATGTGCTTTTCGAAGGAATCTGGGCTTTCGGCCAGAATGCGGAGGGGAGACTCCGCTGCTGCCACGTCTTCTCGGGTACAGAGCAGGGGAGGAGATGCCGGGTGGACCGTGCTCCTGCAAGACAGACGCGACCCGACGCCGTCTACCGTGGGCTCATCGGCTGCGTGTCCCACAGGAGCCTCGTCCACGCTGAGCTGTGAGGACACGACAAACCAGACAGCGTGTCTCCCGTAACAGGACGAGACTGCAGCTCTCTGCCTGAAATCACCTTGGGGGGGGGCCGTGCCCCCTCGTCTACCAACGCTGCCGTGTCCCAGCATGGCAGGACGGGATCTTTCCAATAAAGACGTTGAACTGACAGAGGCAGCCCCAAAATATAAATTCATCATGGACTCTCTGCGGAGCACTGGACAGGCTGTTTGTCACGTGAACGAACCATGCATTTCCCACGTGTGATTCTGGATCTGGGATTCTCCCAGCAGGACGGTCAAGCGTGTGAGGACATGAGGGGACTTACAGCAAGGGCCTTATGAGGCACTCGTAGGTGCTGGTGATGCAGACCATCGTGGGCCCCAGGATGTCGGGCACGATCCAGAACCCTCGGATGGGGGCCGGCTGCCTGGAACGACACGGCCGCAGGGGTTGACGCTCGGCCAGGACGCCCCTGCAGGAGTGTAAAGCTGGGGACTGGAAGGCCGCCATGCTGGGAGTCCTGGTCGCCTAACAGCCTGGAGGCTGTTGGGACAGGAGCCACGGGGCAGCGCTCACAGAACCACCAGCTGCTGCTGGCTCGCACGCCAGGCCCAGCGCAGCGCGAGCGCTCGCAGACGCTCAGACCGCACAGGAGGCGAGCACCCAGTGTCCAGCGCTCCTGCACCAGCTTGCAGGGCTTCACCTACGGTCTCCACCCCCTGCCCTGCCCCGCGGGGGAGGCGGAACTGGGTCCCGGCAGGGACAGCGGCCCACGTGCTTGCGTCGCCTGTCCCTGCCCTTAACCACAACCCTCCTTCCGGGCGGGAGGGGGAGACGGTGCGGGGTCCAGGAGTGAAAAGGCCTGTTTTCAGGGTGAAGCCTGCACCTGGGGAGCAAGAAGCTATGACTGCGACCAGGCCCGGAGCAAGGCCGCCGCGGGAACTGCAGCCTGTGGGTGACCCCCCTGCTCACAAGCTGCCCTCACCCGACCCTGCGGGAAGAAATCGCTATCCTGACTTGGCGCTTGGCGATTTCCAATCTGTGGATTCACACCTAAGCGACATAGTTTAATTTTACCTGTTTGAGAAATGTGTACAATGGGACTTTATTCCCTATTTTCCCCCCTCGCTTTCTGACCCAGTGCTGTCCTCCCCGCCCCCAGCAGGGCCTTCCCTGCGCATCCCCGAGAGCCCCCCGCCTGTTGTGTGCGTCTGGACCCTTCCCTGCTCGCAGCTGCTCTCCGTCAGCCCGCAGCACCCCCTACCCCCGCAGCTGGGTGGCTCCAGGTGCACAGGTGGCTCCTGTGCCCATCCTGTGCCCTCTCCCAAGCTCCTTCCCCGCGGCCCGGCTCCCACCCCCGCATGCCCCCGTCCACGCGTCTTCCATCTTCCCGAACCCACCCTTCCTCCTGGCCCGTGTGTGCAACGGCAGGACCGCGATGCAGTGACCCCAGTACAGAGCTGGGAGTCATTCTAGATCTTTCCCTTCATTCACTAAACGTCCACGGACCGTGTGTCCCCTGGC